CCAAGTCACATGACTCGAGTCCACACCTCTGGTGTAGTGTATAGTAGTGTATAGCATTGTGTAGTGTAGTGTATAGCATTGTGTAGTGTATAGTATAGTGTAGTGTTTAGTAGTGTATAGCATTGTGTAGTGTATAGTAGTGTAGTGTATAGTAGTGTATAGCATTGTGTAGTGTAGTGTATAGCATTGTATAGTGTATAGTATAGTGTAGTGTTTAGTAGTGTATAGCATTGTGTAGTGTATAGTAGTGTAGTGTATCGTAGTGTATAGCATTGTGTAGTGTAGTGTATAGCATTGTGTAGTGTATAGTGTAGTGTACAGTGTAGTGTATCGTGGTGTTATTTGGATATTTAACTTCTTTCACACCGCCCAGAGACCACCGTGGCTAATTTGAGGTGCGCGGGAGAAAGACAACAAACTGGACACAAAACGCATCTCGAAATAGATTCGTTTCCAATTTAGATTCATGAAGGAAGGGGGGGGGAGCTCGTTCCGGCACGGATTATCTCTCGCCACTGATGTTAGCTGTGGTGAATAATCGAATATGGGTGTCACTGGCTTCAAATGAGCACGCAATGTCCAAACCACCCCGCACCACCCCCAGGTCACAGGTTTGGTGACTTTGCACCGCCCATTCACACGTGGATAGCTGCCGTAGAACTTTGGGGCCGTCCATAAATGACGTCACGCGATTTTGGACGATTTTTGATTGACCCCCCCATCTCCCCATCGTCACACGGCGTTACAAAATGTCAGACCCCCCCCCTCAAATATGACGTCACAAAGCTCTGCCCCTCCCCCCAAAAAACATGCTTCAAAATCGCTTTAAACTGTTGTCATTGTTTCTAGATTTGAAGCTTTCGTGACTGCAAGGATTCATATTCTTAGGTTTTTTCGGTAGAATCACGTAGGTAAAAAATTTAAATGTGTAAAATAAAATAAAAATCACGACGTTTCGGAGGCAACACAAGCTTCCGTCTTCAGGTGGAACCGTCACAGCACGATAGCTGTATTAATTTTAATTTTTTACCTACGTGAATTTCCCGAAAAAACCTAATAATATGTTGTCATTGTAGTGTGTATTTAATGTGGCGCTGCACTCTGATGTTGTAGGAGAAAACATTTATTAAAAAGTCTATTGAATTAAGTCGAACGTGTTGTCTATGTTTATTTAAAGTTGCGCATTTTGATGTGACGTCACATTTCTCACCCCCCCCCCCCTCGTCACAAATGTCTGACCCCCCGAGATGCGTGACCTCATTTATGGACGGCCCCTTTGAGAATTTATCGAATAATCAAATCTCACACTTGTGAATTGAAAACGACATTTTTGGGGGGAACTGCTCGTTGTTGTGTTTCGTGTTGTTGTCCCCCCCCCCGCACCTCCGATCAGCGCGGTTGGCTACGTACGGTGCACAAGAAGTTCAACACACATTAATGCTACACTATACACTATATGAAACACTACAGTACACAAACTGCACTATAAACTACCATGCTCCATTGAAAACTAATTTCTTTGGAACGGATTTTTGTGTTTAGTTTGTCATCCTTTCCTCGCACCTCCGATCAGCGTGGCTGGCTACGTACGGTGCGAAAGAAGTTCAACATAATACTACACTACTCTGCTATACACAACACTATACACTACACGATACACTATACACTACACTACTATACACTACACTTCACTATACATTACACTATACACTACACTACTACTATACACGACAGGCGTACAATTACACCGCCAGCTCCTCTCAATTACCCTATGGGCACACACGTGACGCAGCTGCTGCTGCTGCCCCCGTGTGTGAGCACGTGACGCAGCTGCTGCTGCTGCCCCCGTGTGTGAGCACGTGACGCAGCTGCTGCTGCTGCCCCCGTGTGTGAGCACGTGACGCAGCTGCTGCTGCTGCCCCCGTGTGTGAGCACGTGACGCAGCTGCTGCTGTTGCTGCCCCAGCGTGTGAGCACGTGACGCAGCTGCTGCTGTTGCTGCCCCCGTGTGTGAGCACGTGACGCAGCTGCTGCTGCTGCTGCCCCCGTGTGTGAGCACGTGACGCAGCTGCTGCTGCTGCCCCCGTGTGTGAGCACGTGACGCAGCTGCTGCTGTTGCTGCCCCAGCGTGTGAGCACGTGACGCAGCTGCTGCTGCTGCCCCCGTGTGTGAGCACGTGACGCAGCTGCTGCTGCTGCCCCCGTGTGTGAGCACGTGACGCAGCTGCTGCTGCTGCCCCCGTGTGTGAGCACGTGACGCAGCTGCTGCTGCTGCCCCCGTGTGTGAGCACGTGACGCAGCTGCTGCTGTTGCTGCCCCAGCGTGTGAGCACGTGACGCAGCTGCTGCTGTTGCTGCCCCCGTGTGTGAGCACGTGACGCAGCTGCTGCTGCTGCCCCCGTGTGTGAGCACGTGACGCAGCTGCTGCTGTTGCTGCCCCCGTGTGTGAGCACGCTGCGCTGCACCGTGCACCGGTCCGTGCCATACAAAAGACCCCCCTTTGCCGATGCTTCTCTGTGGTCGATTACCGACGCGCGCATGGAAAAATAATTGGGGCCCCAAGGCACTCCGCTGCCACGTGTCACTGCCTTGATGCACAGTGTTGGTGGGGGCAGTGCTCTTTATTGCATGGCCACCACAGGGTGGGGGGGGGGGCACCGGCGGCCCCCGACAACACAGAAAGAGAGAACTCCACCCATTATCCTGAACCCGCTCCAAAGTGATACCTGAACTAGCTCCAAAGTGATACCTGAACCTGCTCCAAAGTTATACCTGAACCCGTTCCAAAGTGATACCTGAACCCGTTCCAAAGTGATACCTGAACCCGTTCCAAAGTGATACCTGAACCCGTTCCAAAGTGATACCTGAACCCGTTCCAAAGTGATACCTGAACCCGTTCCAAAGTGATACCTGAACCCGTTCCAAAGTGACACCTGAACCCGTTCCAAAGTGATACCTGAATCCGTTCCAAAGTGATACCTGAACCCGTTCCAAAGTGATACCTGAACCCGCTCCAATGTGGTACCTGAACCCGCTCCAAAGTGACACCTGAACCCGCTCCAAAGTGACACCTGAACCCGCTCCAAAGTGACACCTGAACCCGTTCCAAAGTGACACCTGAACCCGCTCCAAAGTGACACCTGAACCCGCTCCAAAGTGGTACCTGAACCCGCTCTAAAGTGACACCTGAACCCGCTCCAAAGTGGTACCTGAACCCGCTCTAAAGTGACACCTGAACCCGCTCTAAAGTGGTACCTGAACCCGCTCCAAAGTGGTACCTGAACCCACTCTAAAGTGGTACCTGAACCCGTTCCAAAGTTATACCTGAACCCACTCCAAAGTGGTACCTGAACCCACTCCAAAGTGGTACCTGAACCCGCTCCAAAGTGACACCTGAACCCACTTTAAAGTGATACCTGAACCCGTTCCAAAGTTATACCTGAACCCGTTCCAAAGTTATACCTGAACCCGCTCCAAAGTGACACCTGAACCCGCTCCAAAGTGACACCTGAACCCGCTCTAAAGTGACACCTGAACCCGCTCCAAAGTGATACCTGAACCCGCTCTAAAGTGGTACCTGAACCCGCTCTAAAGTGGAACCTGAACCCGCTCCAAAGTGACACCTGAACCCACTTTAAAGTGACACCTGAACCCGCTCTAAAGTGACACCTGAACCCGCTCTAAAGTGGTACCTGAACCCGCTCCAAAGTGGTACCTGAACCCGCTCCAAAGTGATACCTGAACCCGCTCTAAAGTGATACCTGAACCCGCTCTAAAGTGGTACCTCTCTCTCTCATCACCACGGTGGCTGGAAGATGTTAACTACTTCGCCTGCTACACAGGAAGGCGTGGGTTCGATCCCGACACTGACGACGCCTGCTGCTGCTGTATATTTGGAGTTTGCGTCTCTCTCTCTCCCCGTGGTCGCGTGGAATATTTCCTCAGGATCCTCCGATGAGATTAATTTTGCTGCTGCAAACTTTCGCATGATGAGCCACTACGTTGAACTCTCTTTTGTGTCCAGGTCGCTTCTGAAAAAGAAAGCTCATAGCTCTTGTGGGCTTTTTGTTTAGGGGCCGTCCATAAATGATGTCACGCGATTATGGACGATTTTTTACCACCCCCCCCCCCCTTCGTCACACGACGTCACAAAAAAGTCAGACCCCGCTCTCAAATATGACGTCACAAAGCTTTGCCCCCCCCCCCCAAATAAAACATGCTTCAAATCGCTTTAAACTATCTTCATTATAGTGCGTATTTAATGTGGCGCTGCACTCTGATGTTGTAGGAGAAAACATTTATTAGAAAGTCTATTTAATTAAGTAGAACGTGTTGTCTATATTTATTGAAAGTTGCGCATTTTGATGTGACGTCACATTTCCCAACCACCCCCCCTCGTCACACATCGTCACAAATGTCTGACCCTACCTAGGTGCGTGGCGTCTTTATGGACGGCCCCAATCGTGTGTTTGTACTGTGTTTGTTGTTGCAACGTTCTGACCGCGTGCCCCTACTGGACATGTGTAAAAAAAGAGCTTCATAGCTCATCGGATTCTTACACAATATTAAAAAAATCAATCTGATTCTAATCATTGTCGAGGCACTAATCTGGGGTAGTTGCCTGGCCAACGCGTTCACTCGACGGCCACGTGCGGCACAGGCGGAAGGGGTGGGGGAACAAACCCACGTGGTAGCGTGTCCCCCCCCCCGCACACTCCCCCCGTTCACCCCCCCCGCACCTCTCCCCCCCACACCCCCTGCACACTCTCCCCCGCACCCCCCACATACCCCTCCCCCACGCACATCCTCCCCCGCACCGTCCCCCTCACCCCCCCCCCCACCTACAACCCCCTCCCCCGTACACCCTCCACGCAACCCCTCCCCCCGCATACCCCCCTACCCCCCCCCCCGCATACCCCCCCCCGCACTCCCCCCTACCCCCCCCCGCACTCCCCCCTACCCCCCCGCACTCCCGGAAGTGCATCCCCGTTTGCCGAGCATCACTTCCGGGACCCCTCCATTCCCCCCCCCCCATCACAAGAAGAAAGATGGCGCCTGTTTAGCGCGCAGACATGGGCGACTGCGCACTGTGTTTACGGTAACCCCCCTTCTCCTCGCCGCCCCCCCCGGCTCCCGTCACCCCGTGCCCCGCCAACGCCGAGCCGCGCGGCCCCGGCGCCGCAGTCCCCAACAGTCCCAGAGTCTCACCGTGACCCCTATGCGGTCCTCGGGACACTAGGCCTCTACGGCCCCCCCTTGTTGCCTAGCGAGCCCCGCCGGCCAGGATGTTGCGTCAGTGGTGTGGTGGTCAGGCCGTTGTTGGGGTTTTGGGGGGGAATTCTTTTTCCGTAGTCGACACTCGGTCTGCCGCCGCGAGGCTGTGCTTGAGACACTGGCTTAAATAGTGTTTTTATCTATTAAACCTTTCCAAGTAAGCTCGAAAGGGCAAACGAATGATTATCGTTGCATCTGCGTGTACGCTTGTGGCTCGTAAACATGACTCACGACGGAAGAAACTTAGGAGTGTCAACTTGTGCTGGTGTTTTGGGGCGCTCACCCTGGAGAGATTCCGGGCCAATTCGATCGGAGGGAACGTCGCCCAATACTTGAGAGACCGACAAACAACCGTAGCACAACGGAAGACGCCGTCTGCGTGAGAACGACCACTGCCCTGCGGCCACCGGCGACTTCTTCCGTGCTGTTGATTGAACAGTTGCAGTTTACTTCCGAAGACAAACGCGTGAAAAGCATTACATAATCCACGCCGAGGCATGATTTCCCGTCACAGACGCCTCCTCGTTACTCTTCCATCGCTACTACGGTGGCTAGGAGATGTTAACTACCTCGCCTGGTATACAGGAGGTCGTGGATTTGAGCCCGACCCTGACAACGCTTGCTGCTGTATATTTGGAGTTTGCGTGTCTCTCATCATCATCACGGTGCTATCAGATGTTATATCCTTCACCTGGTATACAGGAGGTCGTAGGTTCGATCCGGACCCTGACGCCTGCTGTATATTTGGAGTTTGCGTCTCTCCCTCCCCGTGGTCGCGTGGAGTTTTCTCCGGGTCCTCCGGGTTTTCCCTCCACATTTAGAAACATGCGTTTAAGAGTATTTGGCCGCTTTAAATGTCTACATGATAAGCCATTTCGTTGGGCTATCAGGCCGCTTCTGCAGAAGAGATGTGTAGCTAATTGGGGCTTACCTGGTAAAAACAAAAGTTACTGCTCCCGTAAACTTCACTCATCGCCGATTCCTCGACCCGTGTTGAAGACTCGGTCTACCAAACACTAGCTAGCTGTGTTGTGTCCTCCAGACTGTGTTCCACCACCACGCGAGAAGTCACAGCAACACACATGCCCACTGATTCACTCGGCCCACTCATTCCCTAGGCCCACTCATTCACTCCACTCATTCCCTGGGCCCACTCATTCACTCGCCCCACTCATTCGCTGGGTCCACTCATTCACTCGGCCTACTAATTCGCTGGGCCCACTCATTCACTCGCCCCACTGATTCACTCGGTCCACTGATTCACTCACCGACCTACTCGCCACACTGCAGGTCAAAACAATTCTCTTTTTGCGTCTTACCTCGCACCGCTTGTTGGAATTCCTTCCCGTCGTTTTTTTCCTCAAACTCTCGTAATAGTAGTAATATCCTTGCTTAATTATGGGACCTCCTTTGCCAGTGTCAAAATATTAGAATAGGTTGTTCCCTTTTTTCTGGCAACAAAACAGGTGTTAAGATGTTAAAACACCAAACTGAAACCTTTTGCAAGGAATCATGTCTGCACTAACCACAGATACTTGTGGTGAAAATATTTTCAAATATTTGTTTTGTTGCCAGAAAAAAAACTATTATATTTAAAGCTTAAATTAAGAACCGTGTTACTTATCCAACGGTTATGTCGTGTTGTGTATAACAACTGTGATAGTGATCATTGTTGCTGGCCGTTTGGCGTTTTAGGACTAATTTAATGCTGTAAAACAAGAAATAACTTGTTAGATTCGCTGCCAAAATACCTTAAAGCAAGAGAAATAATAGCATAAACACGCTTGTTGTGTAGTAGTCTCGACTAGTATGCACGCTGTGTGGACCTTCTATGTGCCATACTATTCACAAACGTAACAACATCATGAGGTTAAGAATCAGCATTAACATAAATTTGGCCCAAGTTTACACAAGTATTTGTGTTGATATTTTGAATTGTATTACTAATAAACTATAAAAAACCGTTTTAAAATTTACCAGGTAAGACCCACGGAGCGATATAGTTCTTTTTCAGAAGCGACCTGGCCACAAATGATAGCCCAATGAAGTGCCTTATGTGAAAATGTATAGCAGCCAAATGTTCGAAATGCATGATTCAAAATATAGAGGGAAAAATCGGAGTACCCAGAGAAAAATCCAAACGACCACGGGGAGAACATCCATCTCCAAATATGCAGCAGGCGTCAAGATAGGGATCGAATCCACAACCTCAGGTGTACCAGGCGAGGTTGTTAACATCTCGCCACCGTGGCACCCCAAGGACGGAGTGACAACCAAGAGAGGGAACGCACCCAGAGAGATTGTCCACAGAGGAGACGCAGCGATGAAATTGGCTCCTTCCGTGCAGGCGCTCGGTGGATTGCTACATTGCAGGACCATGAGAGATGGGACAGCTTGGGGAGTCCTTCGTCCAGCATTGGAGTGATTTTGGTTGATGAGGATGATGACATTTAGGGAGTCTAGGCCGGTTCAGATGTCACTCGGCCCTGATGTTGGCCGCGGATGGGAATCAAATTTAGTGAGGCTGGGGCTCCTACGGTGCGCCAACCATTGCACCACCACTCCCCTACTACTGTACACATATACAGAGAGATGTTAAAAGTGGCCCTAGGTTTTTGTTCGCGAGCGCTTATTTAAGGCAGCATGGTGCACAAGAGGATAGTGTGGCCAGCACCAAACCTTTCAGCCTTTGTCTCTACCTTGTACATATGTTGAACCTTTTTCGCACCGTACGTAGCCAACTGCGCTAATTGGAGGTGCGGGCGAAGGACAACAACCTAAACACAAAATGCAGTTGTAAAGAAATTAGTTTGTCAATATCGATGATTTCAAAGTACATAGCTCCAGTGGCTTCCTAATATCGGACGGAAGAGCATTCCAGACGGCCGCAGAAGCACATCTGAAAGCGCACAATGCAGTGAGCGTCTTCATTCGATGGTTAGCCACTCACCCACCAACCCAGCCACCCACTCAATCACTCACCAACCCACTCACTCATGTTGAGCTTCTTTCGCACCATACGTTGCCAGCCGTGCGCATGGGAGGTGCAGGCCAAGGACAACAAAACTAAACACAGAAAGGAGTGCTAGAGATATCGGTAACAGCATTGAATAGTATTGATGCAGTGTTTACAAATAGTGTGTTGTCTCCGGGCACGCTCGTGCGTGCGTGCTGTGTGCAGGCAAGCGGAGGCGTTGAAGGCGGACATGGCGGGTAAGAGACGCGGTGGACCCCCCCCCCCGCACCCATCACACCACATGTCGACGTCCTCACCACTTCTCCCTCCCATCATAAAGTTTCAATAATAACAGCATTCACTCTAAAAAAAAGTGACCCCTTTACTCGAAAGCATCACCGGTCATTAATGTTGGCGCTTCGATTGCTCTCGCCACCCTTTCAGAGTAAAACTTTTTTTTTTAGCTTGGTCTGTGCTTCTGTATGTACGTGTGAGTTTCTCACGCGTGAGTGTAGACAGCCCCACTGTGTGTGTCTCACGCACTGTCTGAGTGTAGATGGCTCAAAGTGTGTGTGAGTATAGACAGCCCCACTGTGTGTGTGTCTCACGCACTGTGTCTAAGTGTAAATGGCTCCCAGTGTGTGTGTGTGCGTGAGAGTGTAGACAGCCCACTGTGTGTGTGCACGTCTCACTGTGTGTGTGTGAGCCTTTGACAATTCTTCGTGGCCTCAAAGTGCACCTGGCCTGGCACAGGCGGCACCGTGGTGACGTGACCGCCACTTAGTGGCGAATTGCGGGTGTTATTGTGTGTGTGGGTCAGCGGTAGTGTAGCGGATAGCGTGCTGCGAATCCAGTTACCCGTGTTCGATTCCCGCTCACAGCCAACACCAGTGACGATTATCTAAACCGGTTCTGGGCCTCCCCTAGGTCGACTCGGCCTCAAATTAGTACCTGGTGCGGTGTGTAATCATTGCCGCTCACGAGACAAAGGTGGTCAGGCGTTGTGCTGACCACCCACCCCAGTGTGCTGTGCTGGCCTTCATAGGTGCTACTCGCTAACAGCACTTGCCTCAACAGTCCGTGAAAGGCTACATGGGGGATCTTTGTCTCGCTATTAGCATCTCTGTACATCTGATTTTAGATGTGCCTTTGTGTGAGTGTAGACATCTATCACTCCGTGTATATTACTCACTGCTATTTGTGAGTATATATCTCACTGTGTCTGTACATGTGGGTGTGTATCTTATTCTTCTTGGTTCTTTCGGTAAAGTCACGTAGAAGGGAAGTAATAAAATAATAAAAATAAAACATAATAAAACAATTCTCACGACGTTTCGGCCACAACGCAAGCAGCCGTCCTCAGGTGAAAACCAGGTCCGTCGAGGCGACAGAGTCTGAATGAAACAGCACACGAGCTTGGAGCATATATATAAGCTGGGCGCATTGACAAAGGAATTTGCATATCAAAAGGAAATTAGCATATTTATGGGAAATGCAGGAATGTGATTAGTACTGCATATGCATGTGCATTATGCAGGATTAACAGCATCAAAGGGAGCTGCAGTTACTGCTGCTGCAATTGCTGCTGCTGCTGCAGTTGCTGCTGCTGCTGCAGTTTCTGCTGCTGCTGCAGTTGCTGCTGCTGCTGCAGTTGCTGCTGCTGCTGCACTTGCTGCTGCTGCAGTTGCAGCAAGTGCAGCAGCAGCAGCAAGTGCAGCAGCAGCAGCAACTGCAGCAGCAGCAGCAACTGCAGCAGCAGCAGCAGCAGCAACTGCAGCAGCAGCAGCAACTGCAGCAGCAGCAGCAACTGCAGCAGCAGCAGCAACTGCAGCAGCAGCAGCAGAAACTGCAGCAGCAGCAGCAACTGCAGCAGCAGCAGCAACTACAGCAGCAGTAACTGCAGCTCCCTTTGATGCTGTTAATCCTGCATAATGTACATGCATATGCAGTACTAATCACATTCCTGCATTTCCCATAAATATGCTACATTCCTTTTGATATGCAAATTCCTTTGTCAATGCGCCCAGCTTATATATATGCTCCAAGCTCGTGTGCTGTTTCATTCAGACTCTGTCGCCTCGACGGACCTGGTTTTCACCTGAGGACGGCTGCTTGCGTTGTGGCCGAAACGTCGTGAGAATTGCTTTATTATGTTTTATTTTTATTATTTTATTACTTCCCTTCTACGTGACTTTACCGAAAGAACCAAGAAGATGAATCCCTGCAGTCACGAAAGCTTTAAATCGAAATGTGTATCTTATTATTTGAGTGGGTGTGTATCTTATTATATGAGTGGGTGTGTATCTTATTATGTGTGTGGGTGTGTGTCTGTGTGTGTGGTTGTGTATATCTCTCTGTGTAGGTGTGTATCTCACTGTGTGAGTGGGTGTGTATTTCACCGTGTGTGTGGGTGTGTATTTCACCATGTGTGTGGGTGTGTATCTCACCGTGCCCTCCCTTCTCTATGCTTGTGAAACGTGGACCTCGAAAATGGAACATCTGCGCCGGTTAGAAACATTCAGGCTGGCATGCCTACGACCCATCCGGGGTTTAACCAGGCTGGATTGTGTGAGGAGCTCACACATCCTTGAAAGATCTGGACACATTCCTATCAGTGAGCTCCTCCGGCAGGCAAGGCTGCGTTAGCTGAGTGGACTTGCTGATGACTGATACCAGCGGTGTCAAGATCGGCCTCTATGGAGGAGGCTCGTGAAGGACGCTGCTACTGGGCAGTTGGAGGCAGCCGCGCTCCAACAACAACGGAGGGCAGAGGAGCGACGCTCACAACAACGAGCTCAGCGCCGGGTGGCTAAAATGCAGCAAGTTGGCACAGTAGAGGGTACAGCTGGTGCATCTACCGGTTATCTTAGTCAGCCAACCTATGGCACCTGGGTCTGTCCTGAAACCTCCTGTCAGCGAGCCTTTGACACTTCACGTGGCCTTAAAGTGCACCTGGCCTGGCACAGGCACCGTAGTGACATCACCGTCACTTAGTGACGAATGGCAGGTATTGGTATTTGGTGTGTATCTCACTGTGTGGATGGGTGTGTATATCGCCGTGTGAGTGGTTGTGTGTGTGTGGAGCAGTAGTGTCGCGGATAGCACGTTGCGCCACGAACCTGGCGACCCGAGTTTGATTCCCACTCACGGCCAACACCAGTGACCAGTGACGATTATCTGAACCGGTCCTGGGCCTTCCCTAGGTCGACTCAGCCTCAAATTAGTACCTGGTGCGGTGTGTAAACATCGCCACGAGGGACACAGAGGCGGCCAGGCATTGTGCTGGCCACCCACCTCCTCGTGTGCTGTGCCGGCCTTCATAAGTGCTCGCTAACAGCACATGCCCACACAGTTTGTCAAAGGCTATATGGGGAATCTTTGTCTTTGTGGGTGTGTATCTTACTGTGTGTGTGGGTGTGTATATCACCATGTGAGTGGTTTTCTGTGTCTCACTGTGTGAAGGCGTTTTAGAGTCTTGAGACCAGGAAAAGCACCGGGCAGAGATAATCTCCCAAACGAAATGCTGAGGGAGGGTGGCGTTTGTGCACAGGCTCCCTACATGACATCATAATAACAGTCTGGACCACTGGACGGGTTCCGCAGGATTGGAAGGATGCCCTTGTGGTCCCCCTCTCTAAGAAAGAGGACCACACAGACTGTAACAACTACAGTGGAATGTCACTCCTCAGTTTGCCTGGAAAGGTCCTGGCAAGGATTATTCAACATCGCTTTGCCAGGCACGCTGAGGAGAGGCTTGCGGAGCCCCAATGTGGTTTCAGGAAAGGGCGGCCCTGCACAGATGCCATATTTTCTGTCCGTCTGCGACAGCAGAGGTATAAGGAATTCTAACAAGACCTACATCTCTGCTTTATTGACCTGTACAAGGCCTATGATACCATCAGTAGGCCTGGGCTCTGGGTTGTTCTTCGTGCTTTCAGAATTCCTGACACACTGCTCACAATCATTAAGGACCTTCATGATGGTGAGCGGGCCCGGGTAAAACTACGTGGCCGGGAGTCTTTCCCTGTACACCTTGGGGTGCGACAGGGATGTCCTCTGGCTCCCACATTATTTAACATATTTCGACCACGTAGTTCGTGAATCCTTTGATGGCTTTACCTGAGGTATTTCCATCTGGTACAGATACAATGGTAGGCTGATTGATGCCCGGGTGTGGTCAAGGGATGGCTCTCTATTGGTCAACCATGTTACGTATACTTGGTTGCTGCTCACTCAGAGGAGGAATTGGAGGCACTACTGCTGAACCTGGAGCGTGCCACTAAGAGGTGGGGCCTTCCCATAAGCCCCACCAAAACTAAGCACCTGCCTGGGTATTTTGTACCATCGGACACTCCACCCCCACAACTCCCAATTGGTGATGGGGCAGTTGTGGAGAGAGTGGAGAGTTTCCCATGCCTGGGCAGTGTGCTTATGACCGGCTCCAGTTTATCAGCAGAGGTTTCACTCCGAATCAGTCGAGCGGCAAAATCTTTTCATCGGTTGCGTAACGCTGTGTGGAAGCTACCTGGTCTGTCGCTCCGCACCAAGCTTCAGGTCTTCTCGGCCACGGTCATTCCCTCCCTTCTCTACGCTTGCGAAACGTGGACCCCCCTAATCAGAGGTGTGGACTCGAGTCATGTGACTTGGACTCGAGTCAGACTCGAGTCATGAATTTGATGACTTCAGACTCGACTTGGACTTGCATAACAATGACTTTGTCCCACCTCTGAGGTGTGGACTCGAGTCATGTGACTTGGACTCGAGTCAGACTCGAGTCATGAATTTGATGACTTCAGACTCGACTTGGACTTGCATAACAATGACTTTGTCCCACCTCTGCCCCTAATAGAACATCTTCGCCGGTTGGAAACATTTAGGCTGGCCTGCCTACGATCCATCCTGGGTTTAACCAGGCTGGATTGTGTGAGGAGCTCACAAATCCTTGAAAGATCTGGGCAAAGTCCCATCAGTGAGCTCCTCCGGCAGGCAAGGCTACGTTGACTGGGTCATGTAGCCCGCATGCCCAGCCACCGCATGCCTAAACAGCTTTTGTTCGGCCGGATCAAGGGGGCTAAACGGGCGCGGCACGGGCTAGAGAAGAGATGGAGTGATGTGGTACAGGAGGACGTGGAGCTGAGTGGACTTGCCGATGACTGGTACCAGCGGTGTCAAGATCGGCCTCAGTGGAGGAGGCTCGTAAAGGACGCTACTGGGCAGTTGGAGGCAGTCGCCCTCCAACAACAACGGAGGGCGGAGGAGCGACGCTCACAACAACGAGCGGAGCGCCGGGTGGCTAAAGCACAGCAAGTTGGTACAGTAGGGGGCACAGGTGGTGCATCAGCCAGTCATCTCGGTCATCTCGGTCAGTCGACCCGTGGCACCTGGGTCTGCCCCGTGACCTCCTGCCAGCGGGCGTTCGACACTTCACGTGGCCTCAAGGTGCACTTGGCCTGGCACAAGCATCGTGGTGACGTCACCGCCACTTAGTGGCGAATGGCGGTTGTTGTTGTTGTTGAGTGGTGGTGTGTATCTCACTGTGTGTGTGTGCATCTCACCGTGTGTGTGGGTGTGTATCTCACCGTGTGAGTGGTTGTGTATCTCACCGTGTGAGTGGTTGTGTGGCTCATTGTGTGAGTGGTTGTGTGTGTTTCACTCTGTGAGTGTTCGTGTGTGGCTCACCGTGTGTGTGTGGGTGTGTGCGTCTCACCATGTGTCACTGTAGATGGCTCGTTGAGCGCCGCTGACGTGTGGACGTCCCGCCAGAACCTGCAGGACGTCTACCAGAAGATGCTGCTCACTGACCTGGAGTACGCGCTCGACAAGAAGGTGGAGCAGGACCTGTGAGTGCTCGCCTCTCGCTCACACTCGCTCATACTTATACACTTGACTCACATTCTCTTCACTTACACTCGCTCACACTCGGACACACAAACTCGCGTGCTCCCAGTGATCATCGGATGCGTTGCTCAGCACGCTAACCCCTCCCCACACACTGACATAAACTCACACATACGCGCCTATACACACACGCACAATTCCCTGTGTAGCCTTTAACAGACTGTTGGATAAAGTGCTGTTAGCGTGCACCTATTGAGGCCGGCACGGCGCACGAGGGTGGCTAGCACCTTGCCTGGCTGCCTTTATCTCTCCACTGCCGATGTTTACATAGTGCACCCGGTACTAGTTTAAGGATGAGTCGACCTAGGTTCCGATAATCGCCACTGGTATTGGCCGTGAGCGGGAATCGAACTCGGGTCGCCGAGTTCGTAGCGTGCTAGCCGCTGTACAACATCTCTCCACACATTCACACATACAACAACAACCGCCATTCGCCACTAAGTAGGCGGTGACATCACCGCGGCGCTTGTGCCAGGCCAAGTGCACGTTGAGGCCACGTGAAGTGTCGAACGCCCGCTGGCAGGAGGTCACGGGCCAGACCCAGGTGCCATGGGTCGACTGACTGAGATGACTGGCCAATGCACCACCTGTGCCCCCTACTGTTACAACTTGTTGTGCTTTAGCCACCTGGCGCTCCGCTCATTGTTGTGAGCGTCACTCCTCTGCCTTCCGTTGTTGTTGGAGGGCGACTGTCTCAAACTGCCCAATAGCAGTGTCCTTCACGAGCCTCCTCCACAGAGGCCGATCTTGACACCGCTGGTATCAGTCATCAGCAAGTCCACTCAGCTGCACATCCTCCTGTACCACGTCACTCATCTGTTTTCTAGTCCATGCGACACCCATGTAGCCCCCTGCATTCGACCAAATATAAGCTGCTTGGGCATGCGGTGGCTGCGCAAGTGGGCTACATGATCAAGCCAACGCAGCCTTGCCTGCCGGAGTAGCTCAATGATGGAACTTTGTCCACATCTTTGAAGGATCTGAACTCCTCGCAGAATCCAGCTAGGTTAAACACAGGGTGGAATGTAGGCAGGCCAGCCTGAATGTTTCGAACCGACGCGGATGTTCCATTATAAGGGTCCACGTTTCACAAGCGTAGAGAAAGGAGGGCATGACTGTAGCCGATAAAACGATACACACCCACTCACAGTGAGACACACAACCACTCACATGGTGAGATACACACCCACACACACAGTGAGATACACACACAGTGAGACACACCCACACACAGTGAGATACACACACACAGTGAGACACACTCACCCACACACAGTGAGATACACACCCACACACACAGTGAGACACACCCACACACAGTGAGACACACACCCACACACACAGTGACATACACACCCACACACAGTGAGACACACACCCACACACACAGTGACATACACACCCACACACAGTGAGACACACACCCACACACACAGTGACATACACACCCACACACAGTGAGACACACACCCACACACACAGTGACATACACACTCACACACAGTGAGACACACACCCACACACACAGTGAGATACACACACACACAGTGAGACACACACCCACACACACAGTGACATACACACCCACACACAGTGAGACACACACCCACACACACAGTGACATACACACCCACACACAGTGAGACACACTCACACACACAGTGACATACACACCCACACACAGTGAGACACACACCCACACACACAGTGAGATACACCCACACACAGTGAGACACACACCCACACACAGTGAGACACACCCACACACAGTGAGACACACTCACACACAGTGACATACACACCCACACACACAGTGACATACACACCCACACACCCACTCAGTGAGACACACCCACACACACAGTGAAATACACACCCACTCACAGTGACATCCACACTGACACACACAGTGAGATACACACCCACACACACAGTGAGACACACACCCACACACCCTTTTTAGAGTCCGCGTTTTTGCAAGCATAGATAAGGCAGGGCATGAATGTTGTCAACAAGACCCGAAGCTTCCTGTGGGGTGACAGGCCCAGGTATCTTCTACACAGCAGCGTTACGCAGCCGTTGAACAAAAAATAATGTCACTCGCCTGATTCAGAGTGAGACCTCCGCTGCCCAGGGAACTCCTCCACTTCTCCAGAACTGCCCCATCACTCGCGGGAAGTTGAGGGGGTGGAGAATTTTACGACGTAAAATAAAACTCTTAAACTATTTTTACTTTATCAAGTAAGGCCCACTGAGCTATGCAGCTCTTTCAGAAGCGACCTGGCAATCACATATGATTGCTCTACGAAGTGGCTTATCACGTGGACATTCATAGCAGCCAAATACTTTAAACGCACTTCTCTAAATGTGGAGGGGAAAACTGGAGGACCCAGAGAAAAATGCACGTGATCACGGGGAGAACATGCAAACTCCAAATATACAGCAGGCTTCAGGGTCGAGATTGAACCCACAACCTCCTGTATACCAGGTGAGCTACCCAGGCAGGTGCTTGGTTTTTGTGGGGCTGATGCCAAGGCCCCATCTCTTATTGGCAAGCTCCAGGTTCAGCACTAGAGCTTGCAACTCCTTAAGAGTAGTACCAGATAATCAGCATACACAACATGGTTGACGAATAAGGTGGTCATCCCTTGACCGCCCCCAGGCATTCATCAGCCTACCATTAAATCTATACCACAAGGACATTTCTCTGGTCCAGCCATGGAAAGTGTCTCAATGGACGTGGTCAAAAATACACCTAACAAGCACGCGCGCACGCTGTCGACATGCGCGACCCTGCGATGGAGTGCTCCGTCTCACGCACTAACAGTGCCTCCCGGCGCCGCTTTGCGCCTGACTTCTATTCGCCGCACCTCCACACACCTTCCCGCGTCTTACCCACACATCTCTGTGTCTCCCAATTCCCATGCCTCCCCATACCTCCCTGCCTCGCCGTGTCTCCCCCTTTCTACCTTCACCTCTCCACTCCTCCCCGTGTCTCCTCCTTTCTCCCTGTTCCTCACCTCTCCACTCCTCCCCGTGTCTCCCCCTTTTTCCCGTTCCTCCCCTCTCACCTCTTCACCTCCCCGTCTATCCTTTTTTCTCCCCACACCTCTCCACTCCTCCCCATGTCTCCCCCTTTTTCCCCGTTCCTCCCCTCTCACCTCTTCACCTCCCCGTGTATCCTCCGTTCTGCCCGCATCTCCCATCTTACCTCTCCAACTCCTCCCCCGCACCTCCCCTGTGCATGCTGCTTGCAGGTGGAACTACGCCTTCAAAAACCAGATCAGCAGCCTCCAAGGCCAGGCGAAGAACAGAGCTAACCCCAACCGTGGGGAGGTGCAGACCAACCTGGGGCTCTTCCTGGAGGCGGCCAGTGGCTTCTACACACAGGTGTGGAGGGCTGGAGGTGGCGTCTGCATGTCCCCCACCCCACTCTCCCACCCCCGTGTGCCCACATCTCTCACCCCGCGTCTCACCCCGCGTCTCACCCTGCGTCTCTCCACGTATGCTCACGTCTCTGACCCTGCGTCTCACCCCGTCTCTGACCCTGCGTCTCACCCCGTCTCTGACCATGCGTCTCACCCCGTCTCTGACCCTGCGTCTCACCCCGTCTCTGACCATGCGTCTCACCCCGTCTCTGACCATGCGTCTCACCCCGTCTCTGACCATGCGTCTCACCCCGTCTCTGACCTTGCGTCTCACCCTGTCTCTCACCCCCCGTCTCTTCACGTGTGCTCATATCTCTCACCGTGTCTCACCCTGCATCTCACCCTGTCTCTAACCCTGTGTCTCACCCTGTCTCTCACCCTGTCTCTCACCCTGCGTCTCACCCTGCATCTCTCCATGTGTGCTCACGTCTCTCAACCTACGTCTCACCATGTCTCTCACCCTGCATCTCACCCTCCGTCTCTCACCCTGCGTCTCACTCTGTGTCTCTCCACATGTGCCCACATCTCTCACCCTGCCTCTCACCCTGTCTCTCACCCTGCGTCTCACCCTGTGTCTCTCCACGTGTGCTCACGTCTCTCACCCTGCGTCTCACCCTGCATCTCACCCTGTCTCTCCACATGTGCTCACCCTGTGTCTCTCCACATGTGCTCACGTCTTCTTTACCCTGTGTCTCACCCTGCGTCTCTCCCCCCCCCCCCCCCCCCCCCCCGTGTCTCCCCAGCTGCTGCAGGAGCTGTGCGTGGTGTTTGAGGTGGACCTGCCCTGCCGCGTTCGCTCCTCCCAGCTGGGCCTGGGTATCGGACCGCCGCCGCCTATGGAGCCGGCCATCGTGAAGCCGCAGCCCAACTCCTGCCTCTACATCTGCCAGCACTGCCTCGTCCACCTGGGAGACATCGGTAGGGGGGCGACGGTCTCCGTAGCGACGGCAGTAGCCGGCGTCACCGTAGCGACGGCATTTTTACGGATTTTGCTCGGATGCGTGTTAACACATGGTTGCCCCCCCCCCCCCCCTCAGGAGAAGGATGCCAGCCCTTGAGTTAAAACTATCAACTCTGGCTATCCGCCTGATGGTGTCCGTTGTTGTAATTACTGGCGAAACGTCACGGTCCTCGAGTTGTAAATGTTGTAGTGGTTTTACTCTCCCAAAACACAACCGGTTAATGCTGTAAAGTATACACTACACTATATATACTATAATATAAATGTAGTAGTGGGTTTACTCTCCAAACACACAACCGGTTAGTGCTGTATAGTATACACTATACACTACACTATACACTATAATGTAAATGTAGTAGTGGGTTTACTCTCCAGCACACAACCGGGAAGTGCTGTATAGTATACACTATACACTACACTATAACTAGCATAAGTACCCGGCGTTAATAACCTTACATATATACACAGATGGGCTGCTACCCCTGCCCCCCCTCCCCCAGCCACGATCTCCTCGGCCGCTGTGCAGTAATATGTACGGCCTATAGTGTGGTGGGGTGTCGAGGCCTAGTACCGTGCAGAGCCTCCGGCCTCGCCTAAATTGCCCACCCGGCTGAGGCTGGGTACGGGGGCCGTTACCCCCCCCCCGCGCTACAATAATACTGTGTAATCGCTATAATTTTATTATCTACCGACCCTATAATAGTAATTGCACACATTGGGGTGGCAGGGGGAGTGAAGAGGACGTGAAACTTTGATGAATTTACCTCAGAGTCGCGTGGTGGGTGTCGAGGCCTAGTACCGTGCAGAGCCTCCGGCCTCGCCTAAATTGCCCACCCGGCTGAGGCTGGGTACGGGTGCCGTTCCCCCCCCCCCCCCCGCGCTACAATAATACTGTCTAATCGCTATAATTTGATAATCTACCGACCCTATAATAGTAATTGCACACATTGTGGTGGGGGGGGGAGTGAAGAGGACGTGAAACTTTGATGAATTTACCTCAGAGTCGCGTGTTAATGCGTGCGCCTATTTTTAACGGGAATTAAAAATGGCGTCCACCCCGCGGCGAATGCGTCGCTACCCGTTGCCAGGGGCAACCGCCGGACCAATCGTGTCTCGCAAATCCCTGACATTTCGTCCAATGAAACTGCGTATGGTCCGATACACAGACACACACACAGACAGACAGACAGATTTGCGATTTTATATATAGATTGTAAATGTAGTAGTGGGTTTACTCTCCCAACACACAACTGGGAAGTGCTGTACGAGTAACGAATTAGCACGTTTTGTTCACGTCACAAACTTTACTAATTGGATTTGTTGGGTGGTGGCGGGTCTAACGACACATTTATCCTCACGCGATCTAACCCAAAATTTTTTTTACGGATAATATTGGTCGCGAAAGCCTAACGTGTTAAACTGATTTATTTTTATTTTACTAGGTAAGGGTCCGCTGAGCTTACATAGCTCGGCCGAAGGGCCTTATCATTCACACGTGGAAATTTATAGCAGCAGCCAATTACTCAGAATGCATGTTTCTAAACACGGAGGGAAAACCCCATATGACCCAGAGAATAATCCACAGGACCACGGGGAGAACACGCAAACTCCAAATATACAGCAGCAGTCGTCAGGGTCGAGATCGAACCCACGACCTCCTTTATACCAGGCGAGGTAATTAACATCTCCTAGCCACCACGGGTTAGGCTGTGTAGTGCTGCTGCTGCTACAGTGGTGGTGGTGGTTATGATCATGGTGTGGCCCCGTGTGTGTGTGTGCATGTGCACTTGTGTGTGTTCGCTAACAGCACTTGCCCCAACATTCTATTAAGGCTATACGGGGGGATCTTTGTTTTGCATGTGCCGTGCCTCCCCGACTCAGCTCGTTACCGCAACCAAATCAGCCAGGCGGAGTCATACTACAGGCACGCTGCGCAGCTGGTGCCTTCTAATGGTACGCACACACGCACGCAAAGACACGCACGCAAAGACACGCACGCAAAGACACGCACGCACACCCCAGGGTACTAGGCGCACACACACAGACAGGTCTACCAGACCGACCGTTTCATCTCATCCACCACCACACTGTTCAACCACCACCACCACACCGCAGGTCACAGCAACAAACACCCACCCACTCATTCACTTGAGCTGCTATCATCACGTGTGGCATGTATGTATGTATTTTGAACGTCTTTCGCACCCTACGTAGCCAACTGTTCTGATCAGAGGTGTGTCGTTCTTTTTTAAAAGTGACCTGCCCACAATTGATAGCTCAGCGAAGTGGCTTTTCACGTAGAAATTTGTAGCAGCAGCGAAATACTCTAAACGTGTGGTGATGTCGATTCTAAGTGTGGAGGGAAAAACTGGAGGACCTGGAGAAAAATCCACGTGACCACGGGGAGAAGAACATTCAAACTCCACATATACAGCAGGCGTCAGGGTTGGGATCGAACCCACGACCTCCTGTATACCAGGCGCAGCACGACCGCTGCCACTCTACGGTAGCCGGCGCCAACAGTTGTGCCACACACCACTCGTTCCCTGCCACATGGCATTGTGGGGGATGTAGTAGCGATAAAGTTATTTTACTTACATTTTTCTTCCGATTCCAATGACGTACGTGTGTGTTCTGTCATCGGAACACATGTTAAATAACTTTATCGGTACGTCTTCAGCGAGGAAGACATAGTACACATACGTACATCATCGGATCTCAAATAAAATTACTTTATTGGTACGTCTTCAGCTCGGAAAACTTAGCACACATACAGTACGAACGGAATCAGAAGAATCGTAAGAAAACTGATGACGTACAATGATGTACACGTACGTACGTCATCGGGAAGGGGCTAAGTACGGTGTACTTGCCATGTTTTATAACACCTTGCTGCTGCGTGGTGCGGTGCGACGGCAGGCCAGCCGTACAATCAGCTGGCGATCCTGGCATCGTCGCGCGGAGACCACCTCACCACCATCTTCTACTACTGCCGGAGCATCGCTGTGCGCTTCCCCTTCCCGGCGGCCGGCACCAACCTCAGCAAGGCCCTGTCCAAGGCCATCGAGGGGCAAGCGCTGCACCGCACCACCACCAAACAACCGGGCCCGGGGCCACGGCACGCCGGCATGCACGCAGAGAGAGAGGCCACGTCTCCTAGCCACTGTTAGGCACCTTCAGTGGCGAGATGTGAACCCATCGATAAAACTGAACGGCGTTTATATTCTTTGGGTCTTTCGGTAAAGGTACGTAGATAGGTTATTTTCTTTGAACCTATCTACGTGACTTTACCGAAAGACCCAAAGAATATTAATTCCTGCAGTCACGAAAGCTTTAAGTCAAGATTTGAACGGCGTTTCACGGCTTGTAATAAAAATGAGAATTGCTTGGGGTCTTCTTATTTGAATGGTAATACGTGCAACTTGTTGCGTGCCAGAACGACACGGAGGCACAAGGAATCACGGACAAGCAGGAAGGCACTCTACAAACTATTGAAAAACTAATTTTTATTTTACCAGGTACAGACCCACTGAGCTATGTAGCTCTCGAATGATAGCTCAATCAAGTGGCTTATCATCATCATCAGTGGAAACTCCAAATATACAGCAGGCGTCGTCAGGGTTGGGATTGAACCCACGACTTCCTGCATACCAGAGGAGGTAGTTAACATCTAGCCACTGTGGCTCACTCACTTGGTGAGCCAGCGCCACCGACTGTCCAAGCTCCACGGTCCTCTCTGTTTATATTAAGGAGTTAATCGGCCAATGAATGAGCATTCACATGCAGTAGGAAACCGGAGCATGCCTAGCGAGGGGCGGGAGACGCGCAATTGCATACAAACGGAAGAGGTGGAACTCCACATCTGTTTTTGCTGTACTGCCTTTCTGGGGATCCAGGGGATATGGCTCCTCCTCGGAAGTCTCCCTGCGGGAAGGGAGTTAAACAACAGCTGGGTGTGTTATTCATCATAAAGGTGTATTGTTGGTCGCGAAAGCCTACGTGTTAAACTCTTTTTTTGTTGGGTTAGATCACGTGAGTATAAATGTGTCGTGAGACCCTCCACCACCTGACACAGCCAATTAGTGAGGTTTGTGTCACGTTAACAAAACGTGTCTCTAGTTCAGCGCACACCGGTTGTGTGTTGGAGAGTCAAGCCCACAATAACATTTACCATTCGAGTAACCGTGACGTATTGCCAGTAATTACAACAACAACCAGCAGCCTCATCAGGCGACAGACACAGAGTTGTGAAGAAATCCTCCTGGTGTTTTGGTCTTAAATAGAGCAGGTGGTAAATGTGATGACATCACCTGTGAGCCAATCAGGGGTATGAAGACCAGAGAGTGGGGGGGGGTTAATGTATTCATTAAAATTACAATGGGATATCTATGATTGGGCGGTTGAATAACCCCACATATTGTAGACGTGACAAGCCCTTACTTAATTGGCTGTGTCGGATGGTGGTGGTGGCGGGTTTAATGAAACATATTTCCACGATCTAACCCCAAAAACACCTACATTATGGATTATATTGGTGGGGAAGCTTCTTATTACCGCTGCTGTTACTACGACTACTACAAGTTGTGTTCATTGTTTATTTGTGGCGTCCCGCAGGAGGGAGGAACCCAAGGTGAAGATTGGGCTGCTGGATTTTCTGAAGCTGTTCATCCGCTTCCACGCTCACGTCTACCTGGGCAAGAGCCTGGACCGCCTCGTCACGCTCAGCCACAAGCTGGAGGAGGCGTTCAAGGTGAGACGTAGCACCAGCGGCGGCAACAGTTGCAGCAGCAGTGAGGATAGTAATTGAGAGCATTTGATGTTGGAGCTATCGCACGGACTAAACTCAACTATTTTTATTTTACCTGGTAAGGCCCCCACTGAGCATGTATTACAGCTCTTTTTCGGGATCGAATCCACGACTTCCTGTACACCAGGCGAGGTAGTTAACATCTAGCCACCGTGATGATGAGAGAGAGAGACGCAGACTCCAAATATACAGCAGCAGGCATCGTCAGGATCGGGATCGAATCCACGACCTCCTGTATACCAGGCGAAGTAGTTAACATGTAGCCACTGTAATGATGAGAGACAGACGCAGACTCCAAATATACAGCAGGCGTCAGGGTCCGGATAGAACCCACAACCTCCCGTAAACCAGGTGAGGCAGTTGACATCTCCTAGTCACCGTGGCCATTGTGGTTGCGATGTAACCAACCGCTTGCCCTGTGCTCTGTGCGACGGGAGTAGGGGCTGCTGGCCGTCAGGGCGCTCTCTGCCCAGCAGCTGGTGCACCTGGTGGTGGTGACGCTCTTCCAGATGCACCACCTGCGTGAGGGTGGCGGCGGCGGCGCCGTCGAAGAGCAGCAGCCCGAGGCCGAGCAGCAGCAGCAGCACGATGGTGACGACGACGACGATGAGACGCGGTGGACAAACGCGCTCACACTCTACAGTGAGAAGAAGCGGCGACACGGGCGTGGGGAAGGGAGAGGTGTGGGGACAGATACAGTCCCGGATTAAGCTAGTGCGAGGCCTGTAGCATATGCTATGAGGGGGCCCTAAATTAAAAGAAAAACACCTAAATATTCAAACACAAATTTTTAAATTGCATAGTAAAGTCATTGTATTTTTTCATTTTCTATACAGCCAGATACTACGACAAATCGCTAACCTTCAACACCCAGTCGTTCATGAAAGTTTAAGGCAGTGTATTACTATAGTAATAGAGCAAGTCCAGAATCACGGAACCGGAATTGATAGCTTGAAAGCATTTAGCGCGGGGCCCTTGAACGTGCGGGGCCCGTAGCATATGTAGCTGCTTGTGCTACGAGGATAATCCGGCACTCGACATACAGAGGAGGATAAACCATCATCATCATCATCGTCGCGTAAACATCGACTTTCATCCTCGCAGCAGCGGCTTTTGGTTTGCCGTCGAACAAAGGCGGTGGTCACCGCATCATCGCGCGGCGCTTTGAGATGCGCTTCTGCGGCTGTCTGGGACGGTCTTTCCTTCCAATATTAGGAAGCCACTGGGGCAATACACTTTTAAATCATCATCTAGATTGGCAAACTAATTTATTTAGAATGGCTTGTTGTTGTTGTGTTTAGGTTGTTGTCCTTCCACCCGCGCACCTATTAGCGCAGTTGGCTACGTACGGTGCGAAAAAAGTTAAACATACATACACACGCGGGATCAATGTCATACACTGGTAAATGAAGAGGGACTCGCACAAAGGGGAGATATAGGGGGGATACTGCCACACACACAGGGGGATTAATACGGGGGGGGGGGGATACAGAGGGATGGTAGAGGTCCTCGCACACACGAGATAGATACAGGGGAATACATACAAATCAGAATCTTTATTCATCCTGGAGGAGATTCCCGATGAGCTATGAAGCTCTGTTTTACAGACAACGAACACGATGTGAAAAAAAAACAATCAGACACTCATATTTCTTGTACAGTGGTAACTCAGCGGAGTGAGGGGCCAGGGGTAGATACAGGGGGACGCAGAAGTCTGGGAGGTCGCGTGGAGAGAGATGCGGAAGCTGCCACCAACCTTGTGCCACGCGGGAGGTTGTGTGACGAAGTGTGCCGCCGCGTGACGTCGTGTGACGCCGTGTGCCACCGCCTGTCACCGTGCAGGCGCCCTGCTGGACGGGTTGTGCCGCTACGCGGTGCTGCCGGCCAATGAGGAGGTGCGGGCGCCGTCAGCGCTGCCGGCCGTGAAGGTGGCGTTGGAGTGGCTGGGGGCCCGTCCGGTGGTGGTGGAGCACCGAGCACTGCAGCAGCACTGCCAGTGAGACGCGCGCACGTACACGCACATGCACGCGCACGCACGCATGCGCACACACACGTGCACGCACACACGTGCACGCACGCACACACGTGCACGCAGGCACACACGTGCACGCACACACACGTGCACGCACACACACACGCACGTGCACGCACACACACACACGTGCACGCAGGCACACACGTGCACGCACACACGTGCACACACACACACGTGCACGCACACACACACGCACGTGCACGCACCCACAGGTAAAGCTGCTGCGTAGCTCCTTTGCAGAAGCGACCAGGCTATCAGAAATGATTCCTCAACGAAGGACGCTTATCACTTGGAAATATGTATCAGCCAAATACTCTGAAATGTACGTTGATTCTACAATGTGGAGGGAAAAACTGGAGGACCGAGAGAAAAATCCACACGACTACGTGGAGAGAGACACGCAAACTCCAATTTACAGCAGATGCCAGGGTAGTGATCAAACCCACGACATCTTGTATACCAGGCGAGGTAGTTAACATCACCTAGCCACCGTGATAACACTGGTCAACACCCTTTTTCTGGCATACGGTTTTAAGGCAATTTTGGGGTGTTGATTCCAAATCTGGCATCAGTTTTCGTCTATCACATCAGGTTTTTGAGATATCAAATATTGCATTTTCAATAAAAACTGCAGAAAAAAAATATTAAATAAATGTGGATTTCTACATAAAATGATAATATAAACACTATCCTAAAAATACAGCACCATATTTTAACACTAAAGCAGTCACTGAGTCACAACAACTTGCAATAATAAGTGACAGTTAATTTCGGGTAAAATCAATGAAAATGGGGTATGCCGATAGCATAAAAATTAGATGTGATAGAGCAAATCTGAGATCAGATTTGGAATCAGCACCATGAAATTAGTCTAAAACAGCTGCAAAAGTCCAGGCCAGTTGGTAACACACTACGCCATGAAGGACTGAAATCCTGCAGCGCCCACAAGGTTCCCCTGCTCAAGAAAGCACATATACATGCCCGTCTGAAGTTTGCCAATGAACATCTGAATGATTCAGAGGACAACTGGGTGAAAGTGTTGTCAGGTGAGACTAAAATGGAGCTCTTTGGCATCAACTCAACTCGCCTTGTTTGGAGGAGGAGGAATGCTGCCTATGACCCCAAGAACACCATCCCCACCGTCAAACATGGAGGTGGAAACATGCTTTGGGGGTGTTTTTCTGCTAAGGGGACAGGACAACTTCACCGCATCAAAGGGACGATTGACAGGGCCATGTACCATCAAATCTTGGGTGAGAACCTCCTTCCCTCAGCCAGGACATTGAAAATGGGTCGTGGATGGGTATCCCAGCATGACAATGACCCAAAACACACGGCCAATGCAACAAATGAGTGGCTCAAGAAGCACATTAAGGTCCTGGAGTGGCCCTAGCCAGTCTCCAGACCTTAATCCCATAGAAAATCTGTGGAGGGAGCTGAAGGTTCGAGTTGCCAAACGTCAGCCTCGAAACCTTAATGACTTGGAGAAGATCTGCAAAGATTGGGACAAAATCCCTCCTGAGATGTGTGCAAACCTGGTGGCCAACTACAAGAAACGTCTGACCTTTGTGATTGCCAACAAGGGTTTTGCCACCAAGTACTTAGTCATGTTTTGCAGAGGGGTCTAATACTTATTTCCCTCGTTAAAATGCAAATCAATTTATAACATTTTTGACATGCGTTTTTCTGGATTTTTTTGTTGTTATTATGTCTCTCACTGTTCAAATAAACCTACCATTAAAATTATAGACTGATCATTTCTTTGTCAGTGGGCAAACGTACAAAATCAGCAGGGGATCAAATACTTTTTTCCCTCACTGTAGCAAGATATCTAGGGGTTATAATGGATAGAAGCGCAAGCCCCGGATAAAAGAGATTCGTGAAAACCAAATGAAGAATCGCCCGGCACGTAAACTCACAAACGAACCCCTGGGGTGCCATGGCCGACGTGCTGTGAACTGCCGCCACCATCCATCACTGGTCCACTCAGTTGGCAGAGTCGCCGCGCCCCAGCTCGCCCTGGCAGCTCGGGTACAAATCTTGGCCAGATGCGCGATTGAATGAAGCTATGCCCAACAGAACCTCAATGCTGAAACTGACACCAATCCCCCTGAAAAGAACAAGAATAAGCTTTATACCCTCTCTGGCAGTAACACAGGACTTGTGTTGAGATGTTAAAACACCAAATAGATATACAGTCATACCTCGGTATACGACGGCTTTGGAATACGTCGAATTTGGTATACGTCGTGTTTTGACGAGATAAAAATGTCTTGGGATACGACGTCTTGCTTGGGATACGACGCCTTGTTAGAACTTGTATGGGTCGGGATGAGTCACCGCCTACCCGCATAGACCCCGTTCACCACTCCTCCCCTTCCTCACCACCATTCTCGTAGGCTATCAACTTCTCTCAGCAAGGTAAAGTGATGTTAAACATTTTTATTTCAATTTATTTTAATTTATGTATGCATTTTAGTAATAAGTAGTGTCTAAATTATTTTATACAACCTATTAATAATTTATATTAATAATTTCTTATACTCTGGAACGGATTATTTCCTTTTCCTTTATTTCTTATGGGAAAAATTCGTTTGGTTTACGTCATTTTCGGTATAAGTCCTACCTTCTGGAACGAATTAACGACGTATACCGAGGTTCCACTGTACACCTTTTGCAAGGCACACCAAATAGTTATACACCTTTTGCAAGGTATCAAGTCTGCATTAACCACACATTACTTGTGGAAAAACATGCAAACAAACATGCTGTGACAACAATAATGATGTATGCATTGTCTTTGAAACTGATTGGCCTCATCTCTGCACCACCATTGTCAGACCAGACTATTAATAGCTCGGGTTGAGCAGTTATATCATTGGGACCTTTTGCCAGTATCCAAAATTTTATTTGTTTAGAACTGTTTTTTATATTTAGTCTGTTGTCCTTCCTGCCAGACTGTGGAGCGTGCGGCAAACCCACTACTGGAGGTGGCCGCTAAAACCTTGACAGCGGCATTTAAGCGCCTATTCGTGTTGCCGGACACAAGAATAGAATAGAGAACCACACCCTTTCACGCTCGCCGCACCCCTAGCTCAACGGATTTAATTACCCACCAACTCTTGAATGTCATGTGATTGACTGTAATATTATTTATTTTCACGTCTTATTTGTGTTCATGACTTCTAAAATGGTCCCGGGCCTCCACTAGGTCTACTCGGCCTAAAACGAGTGCCTGGTCCCATGTGTGAACATCGCCACTGGGGAGTTAAAGGTGGTGGAGCATGGTGTTGGCCAGCCATCCCCTCGTGGGCCACAGTGCCGCCCTTCATAGGTGCTGCTCGCTAGCAGTCTGTTAAGGCTACACGGATGATCTTTGTATGAGAGCTGTACTCGTGTGTGTGTGTAATAATAGGGTTTTTCCCCTTGTTTCTGGCAACAAAACTGAAACCTTTTTTACAGGGAATCATGTGTGCATTAACCACAATACTTGCAGTCAAAATGCAAACAAAAACACACTGGTAATATATGCGTTGTCCTTGAAACTGATTGGTCCACACCAGAGATGGCTTTCTTTTGAGCCTCGTCTCAATTGGTGCTAGACCAGAGGATGCCAAAAGGCGTACAGCTCAAAGACAATGCACTATCAAAGTAATGAGTGTGGTTTTTGTTTGCATTTTGACCACAGGTATTGTGGTTAATGCACACATGATTCCCTGTAAAAAGGTTTCAGGTTTGTTGCCAGAAACAAGGGGAAATACCCTATTATTATATTTTGATACTGGCAAAGGAGGTATAATGATGTAGTGTGTGTGTTTGTAAGTCGTCTCCGTCAACCTGGGTCTGTCCCGTGACCTGCCAGCAGTGAGCCTTCAACACTTCACGTGGCCAGCGATGGCTGCGGTGTGTGTTCGATGTGAGGGTCTGTGTGAGTGTATTAAGCGCGTGGTGCTGTACTGGCCACCCACCCCCTAGCGTGCCACAGTGCCTGCCTTTATAGGTGCTGCTCGCTAACACCCCTTTCCCCAACAGTCTGTTAAGGCTATATGGGGGATCTTTGTGTCTGTGTGTGTGTACCAGGCTATGGCCCAGTTTGGCGCGGCTTCTCAACAGCCTCCAATCGGCACCAAACGACCTCGACGGCACCGACGCCCAGTCCAGTGAGTACTCGCGCAGACACTCGCACCGAGACAAAGAGCCCCCGTGTAGCCTTAGCAGACTGTTGGGGCAAGTGCTGTCTGCGAGCACCTACGAAGGCCGACACGGCACACGAGGCGGTGGGTGGCCAGCTCCAGTCGCCTCTGCCTTCCCAGTGCTGACGGGTGAACTTCATGACTCAGCCAATGCTGCCTTGCCTACCAGAGGAGCTCACTCATGGGACTGTGTACAGACCTTTCAGGGATCTGTGAGCTCACAAATGAAATGGAAAAACCCAATTTTATGGTGTTGTTTCCCGTGCAGTCCGTCATGAAGGTTTTGGGGGTTTAGATCGCGTAAATATAAATGTGTCATTAAACCTACCACCACCCGGCACAGCCAATTAGCTGTTGCTTCGGCACGTCGGTGTGATGGCGAGTAAATCCACAACATTTGCACTTGAGAACGACGTTTCGCTGGTGGATACAACCAGCTTCTTCAGGTCACTTGCCAGAATTGCCAAGAAGTCTTCCTGTGGTGGCAACATGTTAACCACCTCGCCTGGTGTGCAGGAGTTCGTGGGGCCGACCCCAACCCTAACGCCTGCTGTATATTTGGAGTTTGCGTGTATGTCTCTCTCTCGTGTGGATTTTTCTTTAGGTCCTGCGGTTTTTCCCTCCACATTTAGAATCGACGTGCATTTACAGTATTTGGCTGCTATAAATGTTGATGTGCTAAGCCACTTCGTTGAGCTATGATTTGTGGCCAGGTCGCTTCTTAAACGGAGTTATCTAGCTCAGTGGGCCTTACCTGGTAAAATTAAAATAGTTTAGTTTAAGATGATGTCATCACTGTGAGCCTTTTTTTATCGTGCAGTCGTTGGTGAGTTGGCTGAGACGAGAGATTCACAAGGACGGTGGTCACCGCATCGTGCGCTTTGCGGCACCCGTCTGGAACGCTGTTCCGATATTAGGAAGCCACTGGAGCGACGCTCTTTTAAATCATCATTCAGATTGAAAACTAATTTCTTAAGAACCACTTTTTGTGTTTAGTTTGTTGTCCTTCCCCCCCTGCACCTCCGGTGAGCACGGTTAGCTACGTACGGTGCGAAAAAGTTCAACGTACAGTCTGTTCTCCTGTAGCGCCGCGTGTAGTTTTCAGTAACGCGAATTTGACACAACACGATGAATGTATTCGGGAACACATTTTTATAATGCAGATACAAATTGGACATAACGCGATCGAGCGAGCGGAACTACGTCGTGCGCGAGTAAGGAATAAAGCAGTCGCGGCTTCAGCGTAGCAGCATCATCATCATCGCACAAGGAGGCATTGGGATGCTGCTGGATGCTTCTAGATGCTGCTGCCCACCACGCACCCTGAGTCTTTGTTTAGGCCCTGCGTTAATCATCTCACGTTATCGCGGACTGTGCTTTACCCCCTATATTATATATATAAATTACTATTTAAAACTAAACTATTTTTTACCAGGTAAGGCCAACTGAGCTACACAGATTTTTTTCACAAGCAACACATGGGAGCTCAACGAAGTGGCTTATTACGTGGACATTTATAGCAGCCAAATACCCTGAAACGCATCTTTCTAAATGTGAAAATAAAACCGGAGGACCCGGAGAAAAATCCGCGCGACCACGGGGAGAACATGCAAACTCCAAATATGCAGGCATCAGGGTCAGGATCGAACTCACGACCTCCCGTATACCAGGCGAGGTAGTTAACATTTCCTAGCCACCGTGGCGCCCACACTGGTGTCAATTTGCAACGCGGTTTTCCCCATAACGTAACGACTAATCCGCCGCGTTACAGGAGAAGGGACCGTGTGCGCGCGCACCGCTCTTCACAACCCCCCTTCACCGTGGCAGCTCCGTCCGTGCATGTGTTGCTGGACCTACCTCCTGAGCCACTCAGCCTCTCCTCCTCCTCCCCCCTCTCTCTCTCTTCGTACTCCTATCGTGTTTTCGTACTGTTTGTTGTTGTAACGTTCTTACCCATCCCGACTGGACATCTGTGAAAAGAGCTTCATAGCTCATTGGATTCCTCCTGCAGTGTCAATAAATGTTTTGATTCTGGTACCTCTCCCAGCTGACGTTCTCTCTCGTTGCCGCCTCCCCCCACCCATCTTTATCCTCTGCCAGGTGCCCCCCTGCCAGAGGAATTTGAGCTGCAGGGCTTCCTGGCTCTCAAGTGCGACACGAGGTGAGAGGGGTGGGGGGGTTGGGCGGTGGCGGCAGCATTGCCGGCGCCGGCGTTTTGTGGGTGGCGCTGAATCGCCGGCTCGGCCCTCGCGTTGTTAAAACTCCGCGTGGGCGTTCGCTCACCACCGTGAGCCGTTCCCCGCCTCCAGGGTTGGGCGTGCGGCAGTGGCATGCCGTGAGGGCTAATTACGACCGCAGCCTCATCAGGCGACGGCCGCTGAGGTGTGGAGAAGTCCTCCTCCTGTTTCGGTTCTTAAACAGAGGGGCTGGGTGAATGTGACGTCGTCACTTGGGAGCCAATCAGGGTGCAAAGACCAGAGGGGAAGGGGGCGGTTAATGTATTCATAAACATTACAATTGGATGTCTATTATTGGTTGGTTCAATAACCCCACGTGTTGTTTACGGGACAAACCCGTGCTTAGTCGGCTTTGTCGGGTGGTGGTGGCGGCGGGTTTAACAACACATTTATATTTACGTGATCTAACCCCTAAAACACCTCTTATGGATAATATTGGTCGCTCAAGCCCCTGATACTTGTTAAACAGGGTTACATTTGAGGGTCGGAACTCAGGTTAGGGGATTAATATTCGGGTTCGGTAAATTTTTAGACTAGGATTATATTTGTTATTGTTGTGAGTCTCAAAAGACTTCTTGTTCAGGGCCGTTCTGTCATGTTTTCCCAGTAGGGGGCAATGCTGTTGCTGTGGATGATCTCAACAAAACGCTTGTTGTTGTGTTTAGTTTGTTGTCCTTCCCCCGCACCTCCGATGAGCACAGTTGGCTACGTACGGTGCGAAAGAAGTTCAACATAGTATATATGTAGTATATACACTACACTATACACTACTTAGCACTACACTACTATACTAGATTGAAAACTCATTTCTTTAGAACTGCTTTTTGTGTTTAGTTTGTTGTCCTTTCCCCGCACCTCTGATCAGCACGGTTGGCTACGTATGGTGCAAAAGAGGTTAAATGTTCATGAATGCTCAAAATATTGACTCCGTTAGGAGTACACACAGCAGCAAAATCATCACCGCACTATTACGGAAAGAAAACGTGGCACAACCATTCAGAGTCTGGAGATTCGGTGATCTTGCTTTCCTCGGTAAACAAGGGCAGTTGTCAATATTTAAAACATTGTCCCTTCGCCTATTGGTTGGGTTATTGGGCACCACAGTGGCGAGATGTTAACTACCTCGCCTAGTATGCAGGAGGTCGTGGGTTCGATTCCCACCGTGACACCTGCTGTATATTTGGAGTTTGTGTGTCTCTCTCATCATCATCACGGTGGCTAGGAGATGTTAACTTCCTTGCCTAGTATGCAGGAGGTCGTGGGTTCGATTCCCACCGTGACACCTGCTGTATATTTGGAGTTTGTGTGTCTCTCTCATCATCATCACGGTGGCTAGGAGATGTTAACTTCCTTGCCTAGTATGCAGGAGGTCGTGGGTTCGATTCCCATTGTTACACCTGCTGTATATTTGGAGTTGGCGTGTCTCTCTCATCATCATCACGGTGGCTAGGAGATGTTAACTTCCTTGCCTAGTATGCAGGAGGTCGTGGGTTCGATTCCCACCGTGACACCTGCTGTATATTTGGAGTTTGTGTGTCTCTCTCATCATCATCACGGTGGCTAGGAGATGTTAACTTCCTTGCCTAGTATGCAGGAGGTCGTGGGTTCGATTCCCATCGTGACACCTGCTGTATATTTGGAGTTGGCGTGTCTCTCTCATCATCATCACAGTGGCTAGGAGATGTTAACTGCCTCGCCTAGTATACAGGAGGTTGTGGGTACGATCCCGAACCTGACGATCTCCGCTCCTGCTGTATATTTGGAGTTTGCATGTCTCTCTCCCCATGGTCGTGTGGATCTACTGAGCATTTGTCAAAAAGAGATTTTTATAGCTCATCGGATTCCTTCAGTACAAATAAATATTCTGATTCTGATTTTTTTTTCTCCAGGTCCTCCGGTTTTCCCCTCCACATTTAAAATCGACATCATGCATTTAGAATATTTGGCTGTTATAAATATTTGGCTGTTATAAATGTCCACGTGATGATGATGAGCCACTTCGTTGGACTATCATTTGTAGCCAGGTTGCTTCTGAAAAATTGCTGTATGGCTCAGTGGGCTGTACCTGGTTAGAAAAATAGTTTGAGTTTACACTTCTGCAGAAGAGGGGTAGAACACACAAACTCCATTCACTCGCAATCTGCAGAACAGGGGTAGAACACACAAACTCCACTCACTCTCAATCTTGCAGAACAGGGGTAGAACACACAAACTCCAATCACTCTCGACCGAACTTGCTTACCGGGCGTACGACTGACCTTGTGACCCTCATACCACTGACTCCACAATGCCCCCCCCCCCTCCCCCAGGGCTCTGGAGTTCACGCGGGGTCACCAGGGCGTGGCCACGGAGAAGGACGGCCTGCAGCAGCGCGTACGCCGCTTCCGCATCTGCGCCCTGGGCAGGAGGCTCGCGCTGGCGCACCCCAGGTGAAACACCGTGCCCCCCCGCCCCTGGCAGTGGCAGCCTGCGGGCCTACGGGGCACCGGAGCGTGGGTTTGATCCACCGTAGCATGTTCTGTCTTAGGGGTGGCAGGGGGGGTTCGCAGTGGCTGTGTGTGAAACACAGGGAGCAGGGCTGAGATCCTGCTGGGTTCAGGCCCCTGGATCTGGGCGTCGTTTCTTTCGATGTCAGGGGGTTCATCGTGGCCATGTTAGAGAGACACTTAGCTGCGGTGGCTCGGGGATGTTAACTACCTCGCCTGGTATATAGGAGATTGTGGGTTCGATCCTGACCCTGACGACGCCTATTGTATGTTTGGAGTTTGCGTGTTATCTCTCTCCCTGTGGTTGCGTGGATTTGTCTCTGGATCCTCCGTTTTATTCCCCTAATTTAGAATCAACATGATGCATTTATCGTATTTGGCTACTTTCAATGTCCACGTGATAAGCCACTTTATTTTACCGTGTAAGGCCCACTGAGCTATACAGCTCTTTTTCAGAAGTGACCTGGCTATCACATATGATAGCTCATAGAAGTGGCTTATCAAGTGGAAATGTATATCCGCCAAATACTCGAAACGCATGTTTCTAAATGTGGAGGAGATAACTGGTGGACCCGGAGAAAAATCCACACGTTCACGGGGAGGACATGCAAACTCCAAATATTTAGGCATCGAGGTCGGGATCGAACCCACGACCTCCTGTATAACAGGCGAAGGTAGTTAATATCTCACCACTATGGTGCCCACAGCACATTGCGCTGACCACTGCTCCCCACACACACTCACTCTCGCTCACTCAGAACTCGGATTAAACTCGTACAGATCAGAGGGAGCACATATACACTCACACGCTCTAATATTCACACTCACACTCTCATACTCACACTCTCAAATACTCACACTCAAATACGCACAGTCTCACACTCTCAAATACTCACATTCTGCAGAACAGGGTGACACAACACGCAAGCTCCACAGAGAAGGGCATCCGAGTCGGGAATCGAACCCAGGCGCTTCTCGCCGCGAGTCGGGGCGCCAAATGACCGCTAAATCCCAATTGAGTGATTGTTCAAACTTTATTGAATGATCCATAAGAGAGGTTTTTTGTTGTTGGGTTAGATCGCGTAAATATAAACGTTGTGTCGTCAAACCTGCCACCACCACCCGACACAGCCAAATCAGTAAGGGGTGTGTGTCACGTGAACACAAACGTGGCTAATTAGTTACTAGTTCAGCACTAACTGGTTGCGTGTGTGTGTGTGTTGGAGAGTAAACCCACACTGCAACATTTAGCATTTGAGTGTCGTGACGTTTCGTCGGTGATTACAACAACAACAACCACAACAACAGCCAGCAGCCTCATGAGGCGACAGCCACAGAGTTGTGGAGAAATCCTCCTCCTGCTGCTTCGGTCTTAAATGTGTCGTGTTTAACTTTTGTGGTGATTAACAAGTTGGGCTGGTCAGCCACCAGATGCGTTTCCACAATATGGTCGCTCGATTTTTGTTGGGTTCGTTGGCGTAGCTATAAATATGTTGTTAACCTGCCACCACCACCGCCCGGCACAGCCAATCAGTAAGGTTGTGTGAACAAAAGGTGGCAATTCATAACTCGTACAGCACTACTCGGATTGTGTGTGTGTTGTAGAGTAAACCCACTACAACATTTACAATTCGAGTGGCCGTAACAACACAAAAACCACAACAACCAGCAGTCTCATCAGGCGACGGACAGATTTCATTTGAGTGACGAATGTGAAATCTCGTCGCAGCGTTCTGCAGTGCACCATTGAGAACGGGCTGCTCAAGTTCAGCTCGCCCGTGCCCGAGATGATCGTGGACGATGTTCTGTCGCGGGCGGCGGTGGCGACGACGACGACGCCGCCGCCAATACCGGCGGCGGCGGTGGTGGTGGCAGAGGAGGAGGAAGATGAGGAGGAGGAGAGGGACGAGGACGGGAGGGGCACGACGGCGCCAGCCCCTGCGGACGACGATGCCGAGGCCAAGCGGGAGACTCCGGCGGCCCCTCTGACGGCCACGCCGCGACACCGGGGACCGACGGGCGCCTCGCCGGACGTCCCGGAGAGCCTCGAGACCCCCGACGTCGCCAGCAGAAGCCCTTTCAGCAAGGTCGGGGGGGGGGGGGGACTCCGCTGGCTTAATGGGTTTAGCTTTCTGCAGCTCAGTCTGTCGAGTCTCTGTTTGTGAGTCTATGGGTCTCTATGTAAGTCTGAGTCTCTGTGTGTGTCTATGGGCCTCTCGGTAAGTCTGAGTCTCGGTGTGAGTATTTAGGTCTCTATGAAAGTTTGTGAGTCTCTCTGTTAGTCTATGGGTCTTTATGTAGGTAATGGATTGTCTCTGGGTTTTCCGGTTTCCTCCCCTAGCTAAAAAAAACCCACACACATACAATGTAAATAGTATTGGCTAAAACATCCGCAATGCTAAGAAAAAAAATACCTGCAAATAACTCAATTGGATCACGCAGCACAGCATGTGCAGCGGCAAGCATCGCCACGCCGATTGGAAAAACCTTGTCAGGACCCTCCGGAAAAATACACTCTCAAATACATGCCCCCCCTCCCCCGCGTGCTAAAGGAGCAGAATAATAAATCATCCCCCCTGCATCTCCCCCCTCCCCAGCCTTGGGGCTCCAGCATCCACTCGCCGGCACTGGGCAGAGACCGCGGGGAGACGGAGGGCGGCAGGGTGGTGGTGGTGTGTGAGCGAGCCGGAGGAGGAGGCGGACACAGCCCCCGGTTTGACCTGCCCTGGGCAGAGTCGAGGCGGCGCTGTGGCGGAGACACGCGCAGACACAACGTGGCCGTGCAGGTGAAGGGGCGGGGGGGTGCACGGGACTCTGGTGGGCATGGGGATGACGGGGGAGCCTCGGGGTTTGTGTGGCGTGGCTGGTTGGTATTGTGTGGTGGGCATGGGATGGGGGTGCCTCGGGGTTTGTGTGACTGTACTCTTTGGAACTTTTGGTAAAGTCACGTAGGTATAAAATAAAATACATTAAATCACGACGTTTCGGGTGCAACACAAGCGTCCGTCATCAGGTGGGACAACCACAGCAATAATTGCTGAAGTGGGAGAAAGGGCTGCTGTACAAGCTATATAGGTAAGAGAAGGGGGAGGAGCCAGGGAGGAGAGATAGAGAGGGGTGTGGGGTTGGGGGAGTGGAGCGCTGCCTAGTGGAGCGCTGCTCTCTTACCTATAAAGCCTCTTGTCACGGCAGCCCTTTTGCCCACTTCAGCAATTGTTTCTTGCTGTGGTTGTCCCACCTGATGACGGACGCTTGTGTTGCGCCTGAAACGTCGTGATTTAATTTATTTTATACCTACATGACTTTACAGAAAGAACCAAAGAGTATGGATCCCTGCAGTCACGAAAACTTCAAATCTAGATTGATTTTGTGTGACTGGTTGGTAGTGTGTGGTGAGTATGGGATGGGGGTACCTTGGGGTTTGTGTGACTGGTCGAGTGTGTGTGTGGTGGGCATGGCATGGGGGTACCTTGGGGTTTGTGACTGGTTGGTTTGTGTGTGGTGGGCATGGGATAGGGTCTGTGTGATGGGCCGGCTGTGTGGTGGGCATGGAACTTGAATATGACGATGACATTTATTATGATCATGATGTCGATGCTGATGACGTATAATATGACGATAATGGTGACGATGGCGACGATGCTCTGCAGAAGGCTGTGCCGCAGCCTGCTCCTCCGCTGGTGGCGGAACACCAGAAGCCTCAGCCGGTGCAGCCGGGCCTGGGACCCCTGGCTTCGGCACCGGTTCCCCCCACGGTGGCGTTCCCACCAGCACCGCCGCTGCCATCTACACTGCACGCGCCGGGCAGCTTCCCGGCCCTGCCAGGGCGACCGGGTGAGCCGCGGGACACACGCGCGCACACGCGGGGGATGCGCGTACACAGAGATGGAGACTGAGGGCCCCCCTGCCCTTGGGGCTCAAGTGCTGTTGTTAGCGAGCAGCTATTTAACCCCGAGATATCTGCGAGCTGCAGGGTGGGTTGGTGGGTTGGTGGGTGTCCCGTTCATTTGCCGCTGAATCTCAGAAAGCGCGAGCAGTTCACGGTGATGCAATTTTATTTAGAGAAGCGAAGTTAGCGGACAAGCGTAGCGACACGGCCGCCGCCACTGTAGGATAGCCAGCGCCGAAACCGTGCCACTCGCCACTCCCCGCATGGCCTTGTCGGGGAGCCGTGGCTCCGATAAAGTTTTTTCATTTTAGTTTTCTTCCCATTCCGTTCCGATGACGTCCGTGTAAACTGAAGACGTGCACACGTATGAACACGTACGAACACTTGCGCCATCGAAACGGAATGGGAAGAATATCTGGTGACGTACACGCGTACGTACACGTGTGCGTCATTGCGATGGCAGAGGGTTGAGCGTCGGCACGGCACGCAAGGCGGGTTGAGTGGCCAGCACCATGACCGCATGCCCTTGTCTCCGCAACGCTGACGTTTACAACACCGCACCAGGTACAGGCAGTCCCCCGGGTTACGGAAGGGTTAGGTTCCCCAGAAAGATGCATAACCCGAATCTTCCGTATGTCGGAAACTGAACAATTTTCCCCCAAGATCAACAATAAAATCCCACAGCCGGAAATTGTTCTGCCTTCCTGTATGGCGCTATCGTCCGTTTTCCCTCGCTATTCGTATCGTACCGTTCTGCACTTCCTACGAGTTTTTTGAATGTCATCGAATATCTACCCTAACACTACCCCCATAATTAATCTTATAGAACACACACATACTGCATCCAATGTTTTGAATACCGGGCATTAGGCTAGGCCTAGACACAGACAAAGGTCCCCTTAATAGCCTTAGCATACCGTTGGGGCAAGTGCTGTTAGCGAGCACCAATGAAGGCCGGAATGGCACACGAGGGAGTGGGTGGTCAGCACCACGCCCGACCACCTTTGTATCCCCAAGGGCAAAGTTTACACACCGCACCAGGTACTCATTTGAGGTTGAGTCGACCGACGGGATGCCCAGGACCGGTTCAGATATCCGTCAGCGGTGTTGGCCATGAGTGAGAATGGAACTCATGTTGCGAGGTTGGTAGTGCAGTGCGCGAGCCACTGTTCCACCACTTCCCCATACACAGAAAAACAGATACGTGCACATGTACAGCCCTGTTTCATAATAAATGTGTAGGGTAGGCTACATAATGATCTGGCTTACCCATGTGTCGTAACACTCTCCACCACCCAACACAGCCAAACAAGTTGACAAGCGTTTAACAGTGTGCCAGTTCTGACTGTTTCAGCTCACTCATCTGCTCGCCCACTCACTCACCCACTGACTCACCGACTCACCCACTCCCTCACCCACTTGCTCATCCACTCACCCACTCAAGTCACTCACCCACCTGCTGATCCACTCACTAATCCACTCAACCACTAATCACCCACTCACTTACTCACTTACTTACCCACTCACCCATCCACTCACCCACCCATCCACTCACCCACTCACCCAAAGACAAAGATCCCCGTATAGCCTGAACAGAATGTTAGGACAAGTGCTGTTAGCGAACACCTATGAAGGCCAGCATGAGCACACGAAGGAGTGGGTGACCAGCACTATGCCCGGCCACCTTTGTCTCCCAAGTGACAACGTTTACACACCACACACAGGTTCTCATTTGAGGCTGAGTCGACCTAGGGGAGGAGGCCCAGGACCGGTTCAGATAATGGTCACTGGTGTCGGCCGTGAGCAGGAATCGAACTCAGGTCGCGGGGATTCGAAGCGCAGCGCGCTGACCACTCCACTAATTGCTCTCCACAGACACGCACATGTACATAGGCACATAACACCTCCTGTATTATTGTGATTGCCAGAGATGGTTAAAGCCTCTTGTTCTTCTTCAGCAGCGGTAATAATCATCATCACGCATGCCCTCTCGTGCCGCCCTGCGCAGACCACCCGGCCCAGCCCTTCGCAATGCCACTGCCGCAGCAGCAGCAGCCGGCGCCGGCGTCGGCAGTGTCGCTCTCCTACCCGGTGGTGCCCGGTTTCCCCTACAGCGCCGGCAGTGGGGCCGGGGCACCGACCGGAACGGCTCCGTTGCTGGCGCCATTCATGCAGGCGCCGCCGGGTGCCCACAGCCCGACGGGGAAGCCGTCGCACGTTCCCTACAGCCAGCAGCGCGTGGCCGGCACCGTAGGGAACGGGGCGGCGGCGGCTGCCGCTGCGTTGGCGGCGGCCGCGGCCGTGGTGGCCCCGCCACCGCACTCCCCCGGTGCGGGACGCGCTGGCTCCCCGGCCGTGCAGGTGAGCGCAAGTTGATGTTACACAATCAGGGGGTGTGGCGGTGGCGATGAGATGTTAACTACCTCGCCAGGTGTGCAGGAGGTCGTCGGTTTGATCCCAACCCTGACGATGCCTGCTGCTGTATATTTGGAGTCTGCGTCTCTCATCATCATCACGGTGGCTATGAGATGTTAACTACTTCGCCTGGAATGCACAATGTCGTGGGTTCGATCCCGACCCTGACGATGCCTGCTGCTGTATATTTGGAGTCTGCGTATCTCTCCGCGTAGTTGCGTGGATTTTTCTCCTGGTCCTTCGGTTTTTACCCTCCACATTTCGAATCAACATAACTGCGCGTTTGGAGTATTTGGCCGCTCTAAATGTCCACGTGATTATCCACGTCGTTTGTGATGGCTAAGTCGCTTCTGAAAAAGCGCTTAGCTGGACTCGGAAACACTGAGCATCACTTCTCTTTTCTCACAGTTGCTCAGCAAAGGTGCAAAATACCCCTACGGCACGCAAAAAACAGCACTGCCATCAATGTTTGAATAGACTTGGCGTGTTTCTCAAATAGAGCCGAGGTGATCATTATTATTAGAGACTGGGAGGGAATTTAAAAGTGGAACAGTGTACGGAAAGAAGTATACCTGCAGTGTGATGATGAGTGGCTGAGTGAGTGAGTGTGTTGTTGTGACCTGCAGTGTGGTGAGTGGCTGAGTGAGTGAGTGAGTGTGTTGTTGTGACCTGCAGTGTGGTGAGTGGCTGAGTGAGTGTGTTGTTGTGACCTGCAGTGTGGTGAGTGGCTGAGTGAGTGTGTTGTTGTGACCTGCAGTGTGGTGAGTGGCTGAGTGAGTGAGTGTGTTGCTGTGACCTGCAGTGTGGTGAGTGGCAGAGTAAGTGAGTGTGTTGTGACCTGCAGTGTGGTGAGGGCCTGAGTGAGTGTTGTTGTGACCTGCAGTGTGGTGAGTGCCTGAGTGAGTGAGTGTGTTGTTGTGACCTGCAGTGTGGTGAGTGACTGAGTGAGTGAGTGTGTTGTTGTGACCTGCAGTGTGGTGAGTGATTGAGTGAGTGAGTGTGTTGTTGTGACCTGCAGTGTGGTGAGTGGCTGAGTGAGTGAGTGTGTTGTTGTGACCTGCAGTGTGGTGAATGCCTGAGTGAGTGAGTGTGTTGCTGTGACCTGCAGTGTGGTGAGTGATTGAGTGAGTGAGTGTTGTGACCTGCAGTGTGGTGAGTGGCTGAGTGAGTGAGTGTGTTGTTGTGACCTGCAGTGTGGTGAGTGCCTGAGTGAGTGAGTGTGTTGTTGTGACCTGCAGTGTGGTGAGTGAGTGAGTGAGTGTGTTGTTGTGACCTGCAGTGTGGTGAGTGAGTGAGTGTGTTGCTGTGACCTGCAGTGTGGTGAGTGATTGAGTGAGTGAGTGTTGTGACCTGCAGTGTGGTGAGTGGCTGAGGGAGTGAGTGTGTTGTTGTGACCTGCGGTGTGGTGAGTGCCTGAGTGAGTTAGTGGTCCGTTGTGACCTGCAGTGTGGTGAGCGGTTGAGTGAGTGAGTGTGTTGTTGTGACCTGCAGTGTGGTGAGTGGCTGAGTGAGTGAGTGCGTTGCTGTGACCTGCAGTGTGGTGAGTGAACACAATACTGGATGAGTTAATACAGTCCGTGTCTCAGCATTGCTGATTTTTCTTCTCTCCCACAGTCCCTGGCCGACAGCCAAGCTCAGAACTGGCCCCATTATGGCGGGAAGACTTTACACCCACTCTCCATGCAGCAGCAGCAGTTGGTTCAACAGCAGCAGCAGCAGCACTTAGTGCAACAGCACCTTGCTCAGCAACAGCAGCTGCAGCAGCAACAGCATCAGCTCTTTCAAAAGAGCCCTCTGGTTAATCTGCTGTCGCAGATCGCAAACCTTCACCATCAGCAGCAGCAGCATCCACTTCATCACCAGCAGCAGGTGGATAAATCGGCAGGGCGGATGAAGACGTACGGCACGCGGCTCGGGGTGACGGAGCCGCCCTGCGACTCCTCCAGCAGGCCCTGCGTCTGGGAGTCCGCCTACGGGCTTTCCGGGCAGTGGGGGGTGCCCCTGCAGCAGGGGTCGGGCCAGCCCGGCCACGGCGGCATGAAGCCGCCGTCGATGGTGAGTGCGGCTCGCGGGGCAAAGGCGTGCACGCGCGCACGTGTTCGCGATGCCGCCCACAGGGCAGCATTGACACTTACGATAGCGAGGAGATATTAACTACCTCGCCTGGTATGCAGGAGGTCGTGGGTTCGATCCTGACTCTTTACGCCTGCTGTATATTTGGAGTTTGCATGTCTATCTCTCTCTTATCATCACGATGGCTAGGAGATGTTAACTACCTCGCCTGGTATGCAGGAGGTCGTGGGTTCGATCCTGACTCTTTACGCCTGCTGTATATTTGGAGTTTGCATGTCTATCTCTCTCTTATCATCACGGTGGCTAGGAGATGTTAACTACCTCGCCTGGTATACAGGAGGTTGTGGGTTCAATCCCGATCCTGACGATGCCTGCAGCTGCTGCTGTATATTTGGAGTTTGCGTGTCTCTCTCTCGCTATCCCCGTGGTCGTGTGGATTTTTCTCCACGTCCTCCGGTTTTTCCCTCCACATTAAGAATTGACGTCCTGTGCTCTAAATTTTCACGTGATGATGACCAGCCGCTTCGTCGAACTATCATTTGTGATAGTCAGGGCGCTTCTGAAAAAGAGCTACACAGCTCAGTGGGCCCTTACCTGGTTAAGAATAAAAACTAGTTTATTAGTTTTCGTTTAGTTTGATCTCTCCCCGTCTCTCTCCTGTTCTGAGTGAACAGGACATGGACACGTACGACGTGCGGGCCATGGAGAGCGAGCGCGAGACCTTGGTTGGCGCCAGCACCAACGCCGTGGGTGGCGGCGGCGGCGGTGGGCGTCCCGACTTCTGCCAGGCGCCAGGAGCTCCCGTGGTCAAGACGAACTTCGTACGCAACCCACCCTGGGGCAACCTAAACTCCCCCCCCACACCAAGACTCCTCACACCCCCCTGCTCCCCAGTATTGTCTCCTCCACGACCTCCAATCATACACGGTTCGAATTCGACCCTCGATCGATGGCTGAGCCATCACCGCACACACGTCGAATAAAAAGCAAGGGACAAGTCCTTACTTACGAACAACTCCTATCATTTTTCATTGCTGGAGGGGTTGCCCCCCCTACCTGAAAATCCTGGCTCCGCCATTGCCCCTGTGCTACAGAGTGAGTGAGTGGAGTTTGTGTGTTCTACCCCTGTTCTACAGAGTGAGTGAGTGGAGTTTGTGTATTCTACCCCTGTTCTACAGAGTGAGTGGAGTTTGTGTGTTCTACCCCTGTTCTACAGAGTGAGTGAGTGGAGTTTGTGTTCTAACCCTGTTCTGCAGAGAGAGTGGAGTTTATGTGTTCTACCCCTGTTCTACAGAGTGAGTGGAATTTGTGTGTTCTACTCCTGTTCTACAGAGTGAGTGAGTGGATTCTAGATTTGAAGCTTTCGTGACTGCAAGGATTCATATTCTTAGGTTTTTTCTGATACAGCAATCGTGCTGTGACGGTTCCACCTGAAGACGGAAGCTTGTGTTGTCTCCGAAACGTCGTGATTTTTATTTTATTTTTATTTTACTTTTATTAATTTTAATTTTTTACCTACGTGACTTTACCGAAAAAACCTAAGAATATGAGTGAGTGGAGTTTGTGTGTTCTCCCCCTGTTCTACAGAGTGAGTGAGTGGAGTTTGTGTGTTCTACCCATTCTACAGAGTGAATGAGTGGAGTTTGTGTGTTCTACCCGTTCTACAGAGTGAGTGAGTGGAGTTTGTGTGTTCTACCCCTGTTCTACAGAGTGAGTGAGTGGAGTTTGTGTGTTCTACTCCTGTTCCACAGAGTGAGTGAGTGGAGTTTGTGTGTTCTACCCCTGTTCAACAGAGTGAGTGAGTGGAGTTTGTGTTCTAACCCTGTTCTGCAGAGAGAGTGGAGTTTATGTGTTCTACCCCTGTTCTACAGAGTGAGTGAGTGGAGTTTGTGTGTTCTACCCCTGTTCTACAGAGTGAGTGAGTGGAGTTTGTGTGTTCTACTCCTGTCCTACAAAGTGAGTGAGTGGAGTTTGTGTGTTCTACTCCGGTCCTACAGAGTGAGTGAGTGGAGTTTGTGTGTTCTACCCCTGTTCTACAGAGTGAGTGAGTGGAGTTTGTGTGTTCTACCCCTGTTCTACAGTGTGAGTGAGTGGAGTTTGTGTGTTCTACTCCTGTCCTACAGAGTGAGTGAGTGAAGTTTGTGTGTTCTACTCCTGTTCTGTGTTGGTTTTCTGCAGGTTCTCCAGTTTCCTCCCATAGATAACTGAAAAAAACCTACCTCTCATATCTGGGATTGGCCAAAACATCGCAATGCGCACAAATTACCTGCAAATTACTCAATCGGGATCGCGCACAGCGGAAACTTCATCCTTTCCTGCCACGAGCAAAAATTGGCAGGACCCTCTTGAAAGAGAGTCGTGGGACCCGGCAAGGGTTTATTGGGTAAATAAATGGCATCATTATTATCAGCAGATGGCTGAGATCAAAATGACACTGACCTGCTGATGCTATTGTTGCTGCTGCTTGTGCTGCTGCTCCTGATGCTCCTGCTGTTGCTGCTTCTGCTGCTGCTACTGCTGCTTGTGTTGCTACTGCTGCTGCTACTACTTTCACTGCTCCTATTGCTTGTGCTACTGCTGCTTGTGCAACGGCTGCTGTTGCTGCGACTGATGCTTGTGCAACGGCTGCTGTTGCTGCTGCTGATCCTGCTGCTTGTGTTGGTGCCGTGTAGATGGGGGGACGGATGCGGCAGGACCAGTCTCCCGAGCGCCAAGGGATGCCGGCTCCCTTCCCAACATCGTTTGGGGGTGGCGGCGGCGGTGGCGGCACCGCGTTTACGGTGAGTCGAGGAGCGCCAGCGCCGATGGCGCCCGTTGCTGGCATCAGTCCATCCGGGCTTGTAGAGAACCACAGCCAGGGTTGGCATTGGATACAGAACATAATAGGGGTTTTCCCCTTTATTCTGGAAACAAAACTGAAACCTTTTTACAAGGAATCATGTGTGCATTAACCACAATACTTGCATATATTATCAGAGTGTGTTTTTTGTTTGCATTTTGACCACAAGTATTGCGGTTAATGCACACATGATTCCTGGTAAAAAGGTTTCAGTTTTGTTGCCAGAGAAAAAGGGGACAAACCCTATTATTATATTTTGGTACTGGCAAAGGAGGTCTAATGATGATCGGATACAGAGTTGTGATGGTGCGGGATTGTGATGCCTGCTGATGTATATGTGGAGTTTGCGTGTCTCTCATGATCATCACGATGGCTAGGAGATGTGAACTACCTCGCCTGGTATACAGGAGGTCGTGGGATCGATACCCATCCTGACGCCTATTGTATATTTGGAGTTTGCGTGCCTCTCTCCCCCCCCCCCCCCCCCCCCCCCTCGTGGTGGTCACGTGGATTTTTCTCCGGGTCCTCCGGTTGTTTCCTTCCACATTTAGAATCGACGTCGCACGTTCAGAGTATATGGATGCTGCAATAAATGTCCACGTAATGATGATTAGAATAAGCCACTTCGTTGAGCTGTCATTTGAGGTGCCCAGGAGGCTTCTGAAAAAGAGCTACATAGCTCAGTTGGCCTTAACTGGTAAAATTAACATAGTTTTAAGATGAAGATACAGGGGGTTACAGCTAGATGCAGAGGGACCCATATAGGGAATAGATACAGGGGGGTACATCAGGATGTGAGCTTTACTGGGTGGAATAAAAAGTAGCTGAGAAGTTTGTTATTTATTTCATCTGTGCCAGTGCTGCGGTGCCGTGATTGTAATTGGCCACAGCTCTGACCCTGACGGGAGTCCGAAACTTATCGATTTAAAGCTTTCGTGACTGCAGAGATTCATATTCTTAGTTCTTTCGGTAAAGTCACGTAGAAGGGAACTAATAAAATAATAAAAATAAAACATAAAATCCACAGATGATGATTGTTTGTGTTGCAATCAAAACGTCGTGATAATTTTATTGTTTTATATTTATTATTTTATTATTTCTCTTCTACGTAACTTTACCGAAAGAACCAAGAATATGGGAGTCCGAAAGTCTACCGCTAGCCCTGCTAACCCATAAACCCCCTAACCCTCACTGATAGCTGAAACCCAAAGCTTAATTACGGCTCCGCTCTGGCTCTGCCTCTTCGAGTCAAGCTTGAGCCACCTCACTTGCTTCCAGATGCACGAATGAAGGGGTTCAGCCCTGGCTCAGTTCTCAGCCTCATGGAACCCTGGATCCAGGGCTCGGATTCTTTGAGCCGGCTCACTTGAGCCTCGGCTTAGCCGTGACTCGGGAACTTGAGCCTGATAAGCCTCATCCACAGTCCCACGCCCCTAGTGCTCATCCCCTCACCCTGACGTACCGAGCCGTGATTACTAACCCCTAACCCAGCCTCGTACCCCTCACCCATACCCGGACTTGAACCCTGACCATGACCCAAGCCCATAAACCTAACCACTTACTCAGCTTTGTACCCGTGGCCGGGACACGCTGTCGAATCCAATTCAAGTAAAATATATTTTTTTATTTTACCAGGTAAGGCCCACTGAGCTACGTAGCGCTTCTTCAGTAGCGACCTTGCCACAAGTGGTAGCTCAACGAAGTGGCTTATCGTCCTCATCATCATCATCATGTGGACATTTATAGCAGCAGCCAAATACTCTTAGACGTGTGGTGTTGATTTTAAATATGGAGGGAAAAAAGCGGAGGACCAGGAGAAAAATCCACGCGGCCACGGGGAGAGAGAGACTCAGACTCCAAATATACAGCAGGTGTCAGGATCAGGATCGAACCCACGACTTCCTGTATACCAGATGAGGTAGTCAACATCTCCGAGATACCCTGACGACAATGACAAAGAGAGACGTGCAAACTGTAAATATACAGCAGGCATCGTTAGGGTCAGGATCAAAACCCACGACATCCCGTATACCAGGCAAGGCAGTTAACATCATGCCACCATGATGATGATGATGAGAGAGAGAGACACGCAAACTGCAAATATACAGCTGACATCGTCAGGGTCAGGATCGAAACCCACGACTTCCCGTATACCAGGCGAGGCAGTTAGCATCTCCTAGCCACCGCAGATGCTAATGGCGCCTGCCCTTCTTGGTGACAGCAGATGCACACCGTCTTCAGTGAGCCATACGGCAAGCGTGGTGAGGGCGGCATGGGCCTCACCTCCAACTCCTGCTCCTCATCGGCATCCTCGTCATGCCGGCCCAGCCTCCTCTCCGACATCTCGCGCCCGTACACGCTGTTCGACTCCAATTCCTGGTCGCCAGCATTCGGCAACTCCGGTGAGAGTGTGTGGGGGGATGGGGTGGGCAGGGGCGCCGGTTCAGTCGCTAGGAAGCCGCCGGCGAAGTCCCTGGTTATAGTCACCGGTGTGACGATGAGTGGACGCGAGTCCCCGAGCCGCCATGCGACGGTGTGGCTGTGACTGGGACTGCTGCCCAGCAGTGTAGCGGTGAGCGCTGCGCTGTGAACTCGCACGGGACCCGAGTTCAATTCCAGCTCACGGCCCACACCGGTGAGGATAATCTGAAACGATCTTCAGCCTCCCCTCGGCCTCAAATGAGCACTTGGTGCAGTGTGTAGTAAACATCGTCACTGGGGAGACAAAGGCGGCCGGGTATAGTTCTGGCCACCCACCCCCTCGTGTGCTGTGCCGGGCTTCATAGGTGCTACTCGCTAACAGCACTTGCCCCAACAGTCTGTTACAAGCTATATGGGCAATCCTTGTCTTTTTGTTGCCCACCAAAAGCCTAAGGCCAGGGTGTGACCGTGACGAGACAAGACCGATGTGTGTACGCCCACGTGAATGTTTGTGTCTGTTTATGTTGATTTATTTACCATTAAACTACGTGGAAAAAAGAATCGTAACTGAACTTGTGCGCACCTTCAACACTTCACGCGGCCTTAGCCTGGCACAAGCGCCGTAGTGACGTCGCCGCCACTTAGTGGTGAATGGCGGCTGTTGTTGTGAATGTGTGTTAAACTTTTTTCACACCGTACGTGAGCCAACCTCGCTAATCAGAGGTGCGGGAGGAAGGACAGCAAACTAAACACAACTGCAAGCAGTTCTAAAGAAATTCGTTTTCAATTGAGTATAGTCATATATTGTAGTGTATAGCATAGTGTATAATGTGTAGTGTGTGTAGTGTATAATGTGGAGTTTAGTATGTATGCATGTTAAACTTTTTTCGCACCGTACGTAGCCAACCGCGCTAATTGTAGGTGCGGGGGAAGGACAAACTAAGCACAACAACAAGAAGCAGTTCTAAAGAAATTAGTTTTGTCAATCTAGACGATGATTTAAAAGTGCATCATAGCTCCCAGCAGCTTCCTAATATCGGAAGGGGAAGAGCGTTCCAGACGGCCGCAGACATGTAGTGCAATCGAGGAAGAGCAACGAATGGCCTTCTACGAACAACGTCACGGGGTCTTCAGCGTTCGCTGTGAGCGAAGCAGATGGCACGCGGCAATTTTTGTGGTTCACACACACAGCGAGTAATAACCAGGGTGGCCGCTGCAGCCCAACCGCGAACCTCTGCATCACAACCAGAGAATGCAACGCTACCGCTGGGCCACATGTGTCGGTGTTGGGGAGAGCGGTGGCGTAACGGTTTAGCGCATTGCGCGATGATCTCAGTGCCCCGAGTTTACAAAGTATGAACAATTTCTTATTTTGAGAATAGGTTTTCCCCTTTTTTTCTGGCAACAAAACAGGTGTTTAGATGTTAAAACACCAAACTTAAACCTTTTACAAGGAATAATGTCTGCATTAACCACAATACTTGTGGTCAGAATGCAAACAAAAAACATACTCTGGACCAATCAATCAGTTTCAAAGACAATGCATATACTATCAGAGTATGTTTTTTGTTTGCATTCTGACCAAATGTATATGTGGTTAATGCAGACATGATTCCTTGTAAAAGGTTTCAGTTTGGTGTTTTAACATCTTAACACCTGTTTTGTTGCCAGAAAAAAAGGGGAAAACCTATCGTCATATTTTGGTACTGGCAACGGAGGTCCCATGATATTTTTTTTTATTTTACCAGGCAAGGCCCCCACTGAGCCATATACAGTGGAACCTCGGTATACGTCGTTAATTCGTTCCAGAAGGTAGGACTTATACCGAAAATGACGTATACCAAATTATTTTTTCCTATAAGAAATAAAGGGAAAGGAAATAATCCGTTCCAGAGGAAAATAAATGATATTTTATATGGCATATTATACATTAATGGGGTTGTATCAAATAATTTAGACACTAATTACTAAAATGCATACAGAAGCCACGTGACCGCGTTGCTGCCAGCTGCGCTGGTCACGTGGCGTGCCTCAACCCCGCACGTCGCGCGCGCCTCGACCCGGGGCTCCACCCCCCATGGGGGCAGCCCCCCACGTCCCCCGCCCCTCTCGCTTTGTTACAGTCGTGAACGGGCATAAGAGGGTACAGCACGTGGTGACTCATCCCGACCCATACAAGTTCTAGCAAAGGCGTCGTATCCCAAGACATTTTTCTCTCGAAAAAACACAACGTGTACCAAATTCGACGTATTCCAAAGCGGTCGTATACCGAGGTTCCACTGTAGCTCTTTTTCAGAAGCAACCTGGCCACCACAAATGATAGCTCAACGAAGTGGCTTATCATCACGTGGACATTTATAGCGGCAGTAGTCAAATACTCTGAATGCTTGTTGATTCTAAGTGTGGAGAGGGAAAACCGCAGGACCCGGATAAAAATCCACACGACCACCACAGGGAGAGAGAGAGAGAGACAGGCAAACTCCAAATATATAGCAGGCGTCAGGATCAGGATCAGGATCAAACCCACGACTTCCTGCGTACCAGGTGATGGAGTTAACATCTCCTAGCCACTGTGGCTCCCATTGTGTGCGAGCGTCAGGGTCCACATTTAGCAAATTAGTAAAAAATTACACAGCAAATTACTCGATTGGGACCACACACACACTGACAACATCGTTAACATTTCTGGCCACGGTGGCGATAGTTAACATCTAGCCACCATGGAGAGACGTTAACTACCTGGCCACGATTGATACTTGGCAACGAGTGTTTTGTCTCCCGTCGGTGGCGAGTGATTCCTGAACTGCGCCTGGAGCCGGTCGACTGATGAGCGGATTCCCCTTTTGTGTGGCGGTCACGACAGAGCACTCCACCCCGGCGAGCCAGTCACCCCAGAGCTCCCAACCCAGCTCCCCTCCGCCGCCCTCCTCCATGTTTGGGCCGATCGGCACCCTGGATCCCACAGACCGCCGGGCTACCACCTCCGCCACCGCCGACCGCTGGAACGGGAAGAGGCCAGAGAAGCCAGGAGGTGAGTGGGTCGGTGGGTGGGTGGGTTGGTGGGTGAGTGGGTGGGTTGGTGGGTGAGTGGGTGGGTTGGTGGGTGAGTGGGTGAGTGGGTGGGTGAGTGGGTGGGTTGGTGGGTGAGTGGGTGGGTGAGTGGGTTAGTGGGTGGGTGGGTGGGTGGGTGGGTCGGTGGGTGGGTCGGTGGGTGGGTGGGTGTCGGTGGAGGGGTGGGTCGCTGGGTGGGTGGCTGGGTCGGTGGGTGGGTCGGTGGGTGGGTGGCTGGGTCGGTGGGTGGGTGGCTGGGTCGGTGGGTGGGTGGCTGGGTCGGTGGGTGGGTGGCTGGGTCGGTGGGTGGGTGGCTGGGTCGGTGGGTGGGTGGCTGGGTCGGTGGGTGGGTGGCTGGGTCAGTGGGTGGGTGGCTGGGTGGGTCGGTGGGTGGGTGGGTGAGTCGGTGGGTGGGTGGGTGGGTGAGTCGGTGGGTGGGTGGGTGGGTGGGTGGGTGGGTGGGTGAGTCGGTGGGTGGGTGGGTGCGTGAATAAATGAGTGAGTAGGTGGGTGGGTTAGTGGCCGGAGGAAGCGGTAGTGTACGTCATCAGTTTTTCTTCCGACTCCGTTCCGATGGCGTACACGTACATCATCGTAACCGGCGGAATACCGCCCCGGTTTATTTGCTGCGTCGAGCGTTAGCCGTGACAACGAGCGCCATCTTGCTTTGCGGCCGGAACGATCGAACTGCGTGAATACATTTTCTGCACGACAGTCTTGGGCCAAATTTGAAAATTACTCCATTTGGGATCACGCTTAGCGGCAACACCGCTGTCCGGCTTTACAAACCACCGCAGGATTTGTCTGCGATGCGCAGGTGGCACCTCTCTCCCTGCGCTCTTGAGAACAACAGTGCCCAGATCACAATGTACTCAAGTCTAATCTTGCGCATGGCAAGACGTGTTTTCCGGAGCGGACACCAATATCGAAGTCTGCTGCTGGCCATGACGAGAGGGCTTCAGGAGAAAGGCAGAGAGAGACAGATAGACACAGATTGAGACAGAGAGAGGGTTCGTGTCATTTTTCTGTTCTTCCATTGAATGAGCTCAGACCACGGTGGTTTACTGTATGGACGTAATTAGCGGCACCACATCGGTGGTGCCGCTAATTGTTGCCCCTTGAGTAGAGCTGCAGAACTGTCCATCAGAAGTTGCATTCAGATTGAGCAGCTTTCCCATTCGAACGTATGGAGGTGACGTGAGTCAATAATCTTTTTATAAAACTATAAAGTCCATAATCGAGGTTTTTTTGGGTTGGATTGTGTAAATGTAATTGTGTCGTTAAGCCCGCAGCCACCACCCGACACAGCGAATTAGTAAGGTTTGTCACATAAACAAAGCGTGCCAATACTGGTACAGCACAAACCGGTTGTGTTGGACAGTAAACCCACTACTACATTAACAATTATAGTGTAGCGTATAGTCGTGTATAGTGTATACTAGTACAGCACTAACCGGTGTGTTGGAGAGTAAACCCATTACAACATTAACAATTTGAGTACTTTGACGTTTCACTGGTAATTACAACCAGCATGATCAGGTGGACAGCCAGAGTTAAATGGTTGTGTCGGGTGGTGGCGGTTTTAACGACTCATTTATATTTATGCCATCTAACCCAAAAAACACTGATGGATAATATTTGTTGCGAAACCCTACTTGGTAAAACTACGAACTATTTTTATTTTACCAGGTAAGGCCCCACTGAGCTATGCAGCTCTTTTTCAGAAGCGACCCGGCCATCACAAATGATAGCTCAAGCAAGTGGATTATCACGTGGACATTCATAGCAGCAGCCAAATACTCTGAAACGTGTGACGTTGATTCTAAATGTGGAGGAAAAAACCGGAAGACCTGGAGGAAAATCCACACAACCACGGGGAGAGAGAGGGAGAGACGCAAACTCCAAATATTCAGCAGCAGGCGTCAGATGCCACTGTCCGCCAAGAAATGATTCCATAAATTAATGGAGGAGGAACTGTTTGACCAGGTCTGGGTAGGGCACGAGTCCAAGCTGACATTTGGAACGCGGAGCCAGCCAATCGTCGTCGGGCTGGGTTTTGCCGCTGTACGGCAGCAGACTGCGTGAAGCTTCGTGTGTCCGTCAGCCACACCGCTTGTACAAACGCTCCGTCTAACCCGACCGCTTCCGCCGTCACGACAACCGATGTTGATGCACCGCCACCACCGCCGCCGCCGCCACTACCAATGCCACCAACACCATTGCCACCACCATCACCGCCACCACCACCATCACCGCCACCACCACCATCACCAACCCCGCAAGATTTTCTGACTAGGGGACTTTGAAAATCGCAAGGAAATAAATACATATTTGGGGGAAACTTTTTTTCTTTATTTATTGTACCGCTTGCCACTAGTGTATACAACCCAATACGTTCAAACGATCCACCGATTGAGTTGTATTACCACAATCGGGAGTGCAGTCGGTCGTCAATGATCAATCGGAATGCAGTCAATCGTCGATTATTAATCGGATTGCAGTCGATCATCGATGATCAATCATAGTGCAGTCGGTTATTGATGATCAATCGGAATGCAGTCAATCATCGATTACATCAATTAGAGTGCAGTTGATTATCAATCTGAGTGCAATTGATCATCGATGATCAATCAGTGTGCAGTCGATCATCGATGACACTGATCTACAATTTCTTAGACGTCATCTGCTTCAGAGATGAAATGTGCTGTTTATTATGGATTTTGATGTGCTGAATTCAGATATGACAATTTAAACAACTGATTGGCTACTGTTCCCAACATATTGAATTTTTACATTTGTGGTGAGTCCAACTGAGTCGCAGACGTTGTTCTTTAGAGGCAACACATTTATTGTAACATCAACACGCTAACACGAAGGGGTAACTGCCCCTTCACCAGATACAGCCTTGGGTTGTGACCACCCAGCTAACTACACTATATGTAGGAGTTACAGCTACGAAGGGTCGGGCCCTCACTCGGATCCCCGACCACGTGTTGATGCCTCGTAGGACGTAGAGCTTCCAGCTTGTAGACGTAGGGCTTCCAGCTGTCGAACGAAGAACCCCGATCGCTCTCAGTGACTCGCCTTATATCCCCCCCAGATCAGGGCCGCTCCGCCCTTGGCCCCGCCCGCCTTATCGAGCGTTCTAGCTCCCCCTCGATCCTTCTCGGGAGTTCTCCCCGGACACGTGATCACCCCCTAGCCAACCCACCTGCGGGCCCTCTCTGTGGACACTCCGGATCACGTGTATACGGGGTCAACCAGTGTGCCATGGCCCGGGGCAACCCTGTCCCTGGGCTGACACTTTCCCGCCCCCCCCTGTGGGAGCCCGCATTGCACGCCATGCGTGGTGCCCGCGCTATCCCAGCGTTCACCAAGCCCCGCTAGGGCTGGTACTACACCCGCCTACGGGGTGTACACGATGACGGTGCATCGCACGCCACGGCCCTCCCAGGCCGACACCATACAGTGACATCCCCGATGTCACTACACATTTTACGTCTATGTATATTGTGTAGATAGAGTTTTACTCATAAATTGTAAACCTAGGTCTTTCCATGTGTTTACGGTTGCTTTACGTGATAACATGTCACCTGTCCTGTTTATGTAACACTTAAAAAATCAGCAAAAGATTTATATAAATAAAATGTATTGTGAAACAAAAGGCAAAAACGTATTCAGTGTCTACTCGGCGCTTCTTGGCTTCTCTCTTGTATTCATTAAATGGAACATCTCTTGTCACTGTCCAGCAATAGTCTGCAAGCAATGATGGACTCCATTTGCCCTGATAGCATTTCTCCTTTGTTGCAATGTCCTGGTAAAATCGCTCTCCATGCTCGTCGCTCACTGTTCCGCAGTTCGGTGGGAAAAAATCGAGATGAGAATGCAAAAAATGTATCTTTAGTGACATGTTCCAACCAAGGCTTTTGTATGCCTTGCGGAGTTTTTCCAGCAACTCCCTGTAGTTGTCTGCCTTGTTGTTCCGAGAAAATGTGTTGCCACTAACTGGAAGACTTTCCATGCCATCTTTTCCTTGCCACGCAGTGCGCTGTCAAATACATCACCTCGAAGAATTTCACGAATCCAAGGACCAACAAAAACACCTTCCTTTATCTTAGCTTCCCTTAACCTTGGACATTTTCCACGGAGGTACTTGAAAGCTGCTTGTGTTTTGTCCATGGCTTTGACAAAGTTCTTCATCAGACCCAGCTTGATGTGTAAGGGTGGTAAGAAAATCATCCTTGATTCAACAAGTGGTGGATACTGAACACTTTTCCTCCCAGGCTCCAATGACTGTCGGAGTGGACAATCTATCTTGATGTAGTGGGAATTTCTCACGCGACTATCCCATTCGCAGAAAAAACAGCGGTACTTTTTGTATCCAGTCTGCAGACCAAGCAAGAGAGCAACAACCTTCAAATCGCCACAAAGCTGCCACTGATGTTGGTCATAGTTTATGCACCTCAAAAGTTGTTCATGTTGTCATAGGTTTCCTTCATATGAACTGTATGACCAACTGGAATTAATGGCAAAACATTGCCATTATGCAGCAAAACAGCTATAAGACTCATCTTCGTTGAATCAATGAACAGTCTCCACTCATCTGGATCAAGAACGATGTTGAGGGCTGCCATCACACCATCAATGTTGTTGCAAGCTACAAGATCACCTTCCATGAAGAAGAAAGAGACAAGATCCTTTTGACAGTCACGGAACATGGAAACCCAAACATCATCTGATAGGAGATTCCACTGTTGCAGTCTGGAGCCCAACAGCTCTGCCTTACTCTTGGGTAGTTCCAAATCCCTGAAAAGATCTTTCAGTTCACCTTGTGCTATGAGGTGTGGTTCAGAGGAGGAGGATGGGAGATAATCTGGGTTATGTGACCGTGATGGTTCAGGACCAGAAGTTTCATCCTCTTCCTTGGCTGACTCAAGTGAGAATGATTCTGGTGCATCAGAAACCGGCAGTCCTACGTGGGGTACGGGGCGTATAGCTGATGGAATGTTTTGATAATGCAGAGTCCACTTTTTCTTCTTTGACACACCTTTCCCAACTGGAGGCGCCATGCCGAAGTAACCATTGCTGATATGATCTGTTGGCTTTCTCCATATCATTGGCACTTAAAAAGGCATTTATTTCCTTTTCTTGTTCAACCACTGGCAAAGATTTGTTTCACAAGTGTTGCAGCTAATGTGTGGGGCCCACATATTGTCCTGATCTCCAATTGTGCAGCCAAAATAAAGGTGATATGCTTTCTTAACCATAGCGGTTATACTGCACTTTTGTGATGCAAAACTCACTTCACCACAAACATAGCAGAAGTTATCTGCTTTGTTCACACAAGTACAAGGCGTCTCTGCTCACTTTGACTTAACAGAAATGTGTCCGTTTGCAAAATCAAACACTGACAAATAAGAGAGCACGACACTGTATGATTTCTAGAGCTGATATAGGGCAATTTGTTCAGCAGAGGGATGTAAGCCGAGTTATGATTACATCATCCATGACTTCTAGGAATAACATGATGCAATTCATATCATGTATGATGCAATACTAGGTTCAGATTTCATCATTCATTGTGTTGCTCAAAAAGCAAGGACTGTCCAATCCCAGTCATAGATTTATTCATAGATCCAGTCAAAGATGTATTTTAGTCATTTCTGGTTTAAATTGAGATCCCTTCCCTTTACAACTCACTTATCCTCCACCATTCCCAAGTCAAGGGTCGTATATAGTGACCCAGGAGCAAATCTTGGAAACTAGAGCCAATCAACAATTGTAAGCATCATTTTCATTCTCAGTAACCCAGAATTAGTAAAGTTGGACTACATTTATTTCGGAAGCATTTTGCTGTAGACCAGTGTTATCCATCGGAGTGCAGTCAATCGTCGATTATCCGCCGGCTTCGAGGGAGGAGGGGGCGCCGTATAATCACTTATCGTTATGATTTAAAATATCTTATTTTTTCACATTCTTGTATGATATGTTGTTAGGTGTGATGTGTGTGTATTTTTGTGTCCTACTGTAAAAAAGTTACCTATTTACTGTACCGCACTGCAATTTCAATAACACTCTGGATCACAGGGTGATCTTCGTAATACTACTACTACGCTGTTGTTTCAACACAACTATGTGTCAGTTTAACACGTAGGCTTTCGCGACCAATGTTATTCATAATCAACGTTTTTGGGTTTAGATCGCGTTATTTATAAATGTGTCGTAACCCTCCACCACCCGACACGGCCAATCAGTAAAAATGTGTCACGTTGACAAAAGACAAATAGTTCACTGCTTTAGCCCACCGGTGTGTTGAAGCCACAACATTTACAACCATGTGTTTTGACGATCGCCGGACTGGTTAAGCCTTCAGACCGGTGTTTCGGAGAACGTCGAATTACACGACGCAACTTTTCGCCGGATCGCATCGTGAAAATATTTTCTGTTTCTATTACCGTAGTTATTAGTCGTGAAAAATGTGTATACTGTACGTGCAGTATTTTCATTGTTTCAATTGTATGTCGTGTATAATGTCCCATATGTAGTATTTGACACTGATCTCTCAAGCGAAGCTACTTTCTTCATTTGAAGCTTTCGTGCCTGCAGGAATCCATACTCTTTGGTTCTTTCGGTAAAGTCACGTAGGTAGAAAAATAATAGATCACGACATTTCGATCGCAACACAAGCAATCGTCATCAGGTGGGACAACCACAGCAAGAAAAAACTGCTGAAGTAGGCGAGAGATCTGCCCTGGCACGAGGTTGTTATATAGTAGTGTATAGTGTAGTGTGTAGTGTAGTGTATAGTAGTGTATAGTGTAGTGTATAGTGTAGTGTATAGTAGGCCTCGGCAGTAGGGGGGGGGAGAGAGAAGGGGGGGAGGAGGCGGGGCAGAAAGTGGACCCCGCAGCAGCCCCGGGTCACTGGAGTAGAGATCGGAGAGAGATGCACAGAGAGAGAGAGAAATATACACAGAGAGTTGGAAATAACAGCTGACATAGGCAGGTAGGATGGAAACATCACAATCAGTTAAGACTTTACCTGGTTAATAACGTCCTTCCAATGATTGCTCATTTTGTACCCATCCTCTCGGTTGAAGTTGTGTCTGTGTTTATATATCTGGATGGCTTCATGAACAAATTTCTGATAATAGCCGGTGGGTTTGCAGAGTACCTTCGTCTTGGAAAAGTCAATTTCGTGTGAGCCCACTGCGTTAAAACAATGATCAGCAACGGCAGAGGTATTGGTCCTACTGTGTTTCAGATTTGACTTGTGTTCACGAACGCGGCCCGAGACATGTCATTTAGTTTCCCCAATGTAACTGCTGCCGCAGCCACAACTCAGTTTGTAGACACCAGGGTATTGCATATCAGAAATCACATCCTTTACAGATGGGATCAAATCAGGATGATAACTATGATGATGATAATGACGATGATGTAATAACGACGACGATGATGATTTAAATGATGACGATGATGACGACACGATGCCGTCGTGTCTCTGTCCGCCGTGCGGCTGTGTTGGGTCCAGCGGCGAGTGGCTACGGGCTGGATTACCTCCCATCGGACGCCACGTGGCCCCCACCTCCACGCGTCCTCCCATCTCAGGCGCTGCACGCGACATCCCGTGGTGGCGGCGGCGGTGCCGCGCCATGGATGGGTGTCCAACACGCCAGCGAGCCTCCTCCCAGCCTTGCTGACAACCTCAAGGTACAGCTAACGAGGCCGCGCTCGTCAAAGACAAAGATCTCCCGTACAGCCAGAGCAGACTTTCGGGGCAAGTGCTGTTAGCGAGTAGCTCCCATGAAGGTCGGCACGGCACATGAGGCGGTGGGTGGCCAGCACCACGCCCGGCCGCCTTTGTCTCCCCAGTTTACACACTGCACCAGGTACTAATTTGAGGCCGAGTCGACCTAGAGGAGGCCCAGGACCGGTTCAGATAATCGTCGCCGGGTTCGTAGCGCGACGTTCTAACCGCTACCAATACCGTTCACACACACACACTACACACACAGTACACACACACTACACAACACACACAGTACACACACACAGTACACACACACACTACACAACACACACAGTACACACACACACACAGTACACATACACACACCAAGTGCTTCCTGCCACGCGTGAACCACGATACACCTCCTTCGCTGATCTCGTCGAGGAAAGTAAACCATCACGATCACGCGACACTCCGCTCATGCTCGCCGTAGCAGCGGCAGCGGCTTTTGGCTGGCCGTCGAACAAAGGCGGTGGTCACCACATCGCCGCACGGCGCTTTCAGACGCGCTTCTCCGGCCGTCTGGAACGCTCTTTGTTCCGATATTAGGAAGCCGCTGGAGCTATGCACTTTTTTAAAATCATCATCTAGATTGACAAACTGATTTCTTTAGAACGCTATACACTACAATACACGATACATTACACACACTACACTATACACTACTTTCGACGACACTATACGCTACACTACTATACACTACCCAGTACACTACACTATACACTACACTATAATATACTACTATACACTACACCACTTTTCTAAATTGAAAACAACTGCTTTTCGTGTTTAGTTTGTTGTCCTTCCCCCCTTGTACCTCTGATTAGCAGGGTTGGCTCCGTACGGTGCAAAAGAAGTACAACATACATACTACACTATACACTACACTATACACTACACTATAAACCACTATACACTACACTATACACTACACTATACACTACACTATACATACATTACAGCAGAACGGGAATGGTAACGAAGGGCACAGAGCAACAGGAATGAAATAATAAACCCCCATCACAAACTCAGCGGCTACCACCGACTGAGCACAATCTCATGAACCAATCCTGGCCCTCCCCCTGGTCGACTCGTTCTTAAATGAGTACCTGGTGTGACGTGTGAACTAAACTATTTTTTTATTTTACCAGGTAAGGCCCCACTGAGCTGTGTAGCTCTTTTTCAGAAGCGACCTGGCTATCACAAAAGTGGCTTATCATTTTGTGAAAATATATAGCAGCCAAATACTCTAATTGTGTGATGTTGATTCTAGATGTGGAGGGAAAAAACTGGAGGACCACGTGGAGAGAGAGACGCAAACTCAAAATATACATATTCTTAGGTTTTTTCGGTAAAGTCACGTAGGTAAAAAATTAAAATTAATAAAAGTAAAATAAAAATAAAAATCACGACGTTTCGGAGGCAACACAAGCTTCCGTCTTCAGGTGGAACTGTCACAGCACGATAGCTGTATCAAGTGAGAGAGATTCCAAGAAAACAGTCCTTCTATATATACTGGTTGAGGGTAGGAGGAGCCAAGGTAGGCCCTGAATATTATTTTTGTGAGGTTCGGTGCAGCTGAAGCACGCTGTTAGGAATGAGCCTTTGTTGTGTAAATTAGGTGCGGATGATGTAAAGGTGCGTGTAAAAGGGACTGAGCCTTTTTGTTATGTAGAGGTGATGCGGCTGAAATCGCTGCCAGGAAATGAGTCTTTGTTGTGTAGAATGGTTGACTGAGCCTATTATTATGTAGAGGTGGTGCGGCTGAAATTGCTGCCAGGAAATGAGTCTTTGTTGTGTAGAATGGTTGACTGAGCCTATTGTTATGTAGAGGTGGTGCAGCTGAAATCGCTGCCAGGAATGCTCCAAATATGTGTAGTTAAATGTTTTTTGCATGGTTAATAACATCTTTCCAATGATTGCTAAGTTTGTAACCATCATCACGGTTGAAATTATGTCTGTGTTTGTATATTTGGATGGCCTCGTGTACAAACCTTTGATGGTAGCCAGGAGGCTTGCAGAGCACCTTAGTCTCGGAAAAGACAATTTCATGAGAGCCCACAGCGTTGTAGCAATGATTGGCAACAGCGGAAGAATCAGTTTTGCCGTGTTTCAGATCTGGCTTGTGCTCGCGGACACGATCAGAGATATGACGTTTCATTTCTCCAATGTAGCAATCACCACAACTGCAACTCAGTTTGTAGATTCCAGGGTATTGTAAGTCAGGAATGACATATTTCACAGATGGAATTAGATCACGGATTTTATGTACTGTACTGAATCGGACTTGAATCTTATGTTTGTTTAGAATTTTGGAGATCTTTTTGGTCACGCCTGCTATGTATGGTAACGTGATAGTTTTGATCGGAGTTTCATGTGGCTGTTTCTGTATGGTGGGAGAAACAGCTTGGCGGATGGTGCGGTCAGAGTATCCGTTCATCCTGAGGGCCCGATGTACATTCACTGGGCAGGTGGTGTTGGTCAGAAATGCCATGAGCTCTGTGGTATAGCGTTTTGATGAGAGAATTCTTTTGAGATGGGTGGTGGTGGGAATCGGGTTTCAAGTAGGAATCTGTGTGGGTGGCTTTCCTGTAGACAGAATGTCCCAAGGATCCGTCAGGTCTCCTCTCAAACAAAATATCTAAGAATGGTAGTTTACCTTCTTTCTCCACTTCCATGGTGAATCTGATGGATGGGTGTCTGGAATTGATGTGGTCCAAGAAGTGGTTCAATGCTGGGAGGCCATGTGGCCAAATGACGAAAGTGTCATCCACATACCTCTTCCACAGGGAAGGACGCAGGGTGGATGTCTGGATGGTGTCTGATTCAAACTTTTCCATGAACATGTTGGCTATCACTGGTGACAAGGGGGAGCCCATAGGGGTACCCTCATTCTGTTTGTAGAAGGTGCCATTCCAGGTAAAATAAGTGTTGGTGAGGCAATGCCTAACCAGCGCAGGTACATCCGAATTCAATCCATGTTGGACCAAGTCCTCAATTATTGTTAGGGTGTCAGGTACTGGGACCTTGGTAAACAGAGATACTACATCAAAACTGACGAGGATATCAGGAAATAGTACCATGTCCTTGACCATAGAGACTAATTGGGTTGAATTGAGTACTGCCGAAGAAATCTTGCCTGTGAAGGGAAGCAGAGTATCTGATAGAAACCGGGCCAGTTTGTACGTAGGAGAGTTGATCGTCGACACGATGGGTCGTAGCGGGGTGCCTTCTTTATGGATCTTGGGAAGACCATAGAGCAGCGGTCGGGAACCTATGGCTCGCGAGCCATATATGGCTCTTCCGGTGACGGCATATGGCTCCCAGACAATTTTGAGTTGAAAAAAATAATAATAATAAAAAAATCAATTTGGAACTGATTTTAAAATACTTGTGATATTGTTTAATAATACTGTGTCATTTTAAAGTAAACAGAAATTAGTTTTGAAGATAAATTTCACGGGTCACGCCTGCACGAAGCTCAACCTCACCACGTATGAACCAGACTACAAGGCCAGCAGCAAAACCATGCAGCACCAGAAGTCGCATTAAAAGTAATACATATTTAATTTATTATACGTTAAAAATACTATATGGCTCTCAATGAAATATATTTAGAAATATTTGGCTTTTATGGCTCTCCCAGTCAAAAAGGTTCCCGACCACTGCCATAGAGTCTGGGAGGTCTTGCCGCCGATGGTTTTAGAGAGGGACGTTTGGTTGGTTCGATTAGGGAAGTCGAACTCGTGATGATTTGGTTAGTTTTTGTCGTTAGGCTGTTAGTAGGATCATTTTTTATTTTGGAGTAACTCCCATCATTAAGTAGGTCCAGGATTTTGTTGTTGTATGAATCTTTATCCATGATGACCGTGGCATTGCCCTTGTCTGCCGAGAGGATGACAATATCATCTCTCTTTTTTAGGTCCGCGAGTTCAGAGTGTTCGTTTTTGCTAATGTTACTAGTGGGTTTCTTAGCATTCTTAAGAATAGTGGCTATTTCAGCTCTTGCTACATCTGCATGGATGTGTCCTATGCCTCTGAGGGCTACATCAATCTGAGAAATCACATCCTCTACTGGTATATATTTAGGGGTGACAGCGAAATTTAGTCCTCTGGCCAGTACCGTCTTCAGATTGTAATGCGCGAAAATGCATTCGTTTTCTTGGCCAGTTGTTTTACTCCGCAGACGTTTGAATCAGCGGCGTGCGGCACCCCCCCGCCGCCTGTCGTTTGTCTCTCCGTGCAGTCGCTGTGGTCGAACTCGGTGATGCAACCGGGGCCGCTGGCGCTGGAGCAGCTGCTGATGCAGCAGAAGCAGAAGCAGTTCAACCTGGGCCAGTCCAACCCTCCACACTGAAGGGACGCGCCCCCATCTCGCTCGGAATAGAAACCCTCGGCAGCGCCAGCGGCGGAAATCCGCGGCGGCGGTGGCGGTGGCTGCCGCAGCCGCTCTTTGGATGGAGTGGCGAAAGGGAGCCAGCCTCCCTCGCTTCCCTCCACCTCTTCCACCGAAAAATTTGGGAAACCAAAAATTTAACTAAATAAATGTAAGCCGGCAATTTCGGCCAAACGCCATCGCTGGCGCCGGCAAACGTCGCCATCTCTTAGACGCAACGCCGGACCGGCGCCCAGCCGACGATGCCGATTCGCCGGCGTGCGTGTGTGTCCGTTCGTCGGCCGATCGCTCTCTAAAAGCCCGCCAGCCAGCCGACCATCCGTCACGCCACGTAGGTTGGGTTGGCGCTGACCATCTCCAGCCGCTGGGGAAGCCGGCGTAGAGTCGGCGATGGCTTACCGGTGCGTGGAAGCCGCGGTCTCTCCGCGTACCCTCGTTTATTTTAATTTTATTATTTTTTCTCTCGTTTTGACCACGCTGCTCCCCTGGCTGTTATCGTGAGGACCCGAAGGAAGCGGGAAAGGGGAGGGGGGCGGTGGGGGAGAGAGAGCAGAAAAAAGGGAACTCCGCCAACCGCTTGGTAGAGACAGTGGGTTGGCAGCAGCAGCAGCTGCGTTTCCATTGTGCCGTTTGAGTCTTTTTGTCGTGGGCGAGGGTGGGCACACTTGCACACCACCTGTGCGAGGGTGGATGGCACGCACAGCACCGGGGGCGCGGTGTGTCGAGGAGGAGGGGGTGGGCGACACGCAGGACCGGATTGCGGGGGGGGGACGGAGCGGCTGATCGCCGAGAGCCGCCCACGGGTGTCCCGACATACTCCCGAATCCACGCAGTCCACTTTGGGTTTATAATTGCGCCCCCCCCCCACCCAGCGTGTTCCAGATGACAAGAGGAGGATTTCCAGATCCGAGTATCCAGATTCGGGTATCCAGATCCGGTTATCCAGATCGCGCGCCTCTGGGAGGTTGGTGGGTCAAGCAGAGAATTTGGCGTGCGAGGGACGGCCCTCACAGCTCAGGGCTTGTGGCCCGCTGCAGGCTGCTGAAGCCATCTGCTCAGTGCGCTTCTTGAGTGCTTTTTCCTCTCCTGTAAGCGGGGCTTTCTCCGGCCACCCCCTCCGATTTTAAACCACCGCCGCCCGAACAACAACAAACAATGTTAATACAAAAATTGGCTAAGACATACCAAGCAGGAGGGGGGTGGGGGACCCCACTTCTAAAGTAGCCTTGAGACTTGACAATACAATTGGTTGATTCGAGGAATAATCTCTGGGGCCTTTTGATAATGCACTGCTGGTCTCCCTCCTCCCCCCTTGCCATGCCAGCCATGGCGATGGGTTTGGGAAATCTAGGGGTGGGAGTGTGGGGAGAGGTGTGTGGGTGGGGGTAGGTGGGTGGGAGTGGGTGGTTCGGAGTGGGTGGTAGTGGGTGGGTCAGAGTGAGTGGGAGTGGGTGGGGGTGGGTGGGAGTGGGTGGGAGTGGGTGGGTCGGAATGGGTGGGGGTGGGTGGGAGTGGGCCAGGATCTGTTCAACTCGCCAATGATGTCGGGCAGAGAATAGAATCAAGGTGGTGGATAGTTAATAGCGCAGTGCGCTAACCACTGTGACACCACTCTCCGCTGACCCCCCCTCCGTCCTCCCTCACCTCCCCCCGCTGTGTTTAAGTGAGTGGCTGCAGAGATTGAGAAAGGCACTGGGAGTGGAGTAATGTGGTGCCACCCCGCACACCGCCCTGGCTAACTTGGCCTTCTCAAAGAGAGTTTCCTGGGAGCCGCTGGGTGTGGGATGGTTGGCGGTGGTTAGGCGGTGATGACCGGTGGTGGTTTAGAGGGGAAGCGTGGTGGAGGAGGTGAGGGGGGTAAGTAGGTGAGCGAGTGAGTGAGTGAGTGAGCGACGCGTAAGCGGGCAGTGCCAGCTCGCGTGTTTTCTCCCCCCCCACCCCCCCCCGTGCAGATCCACAGGGAGGCAGGGTGCTGTCAAGGTGGGGCGGGGGGGTGGGGTGCTGAAGGCACACCACAGTCAGGGTGTGTACAGAATCATGAGACGGTGTAGCCGGGGCAGGTGTGCGGGTGGTACAGGCTGCGTACTTGGAGGTGTGAAGACGCACCTGCGATTAGCTTGATTGGCTGCGTACGAAGCGAAAGAAGTTCAACATACAGACACGCATACAAGACCCGGACTTGCAGTAGCATCGTGATGTTTATCTTTGCAGGTTTGTGGTTGTACAGGCGTCATGCCGGGCAGATGTACACGTGCACAGGTGTACAGGCACGCAGCTGCACAGGTGTACACGTCCGCTAGTGTGCACGTGTGCACCTGCACAGGTGTACACGTGCACACCTGTGCACAGGTGCACAGGCCCGCCCGGCAGGTGAGCAGTGCGAGTTAAGCGAGAGTGCAGGTGGGAGGAGTCTTCATTGGCACCCAACGCTTTGACGCGGCAGTCCCTTCACTCACATAAATCTGGCAGAGAACGTTCGCACAGTTAAAGCGACTAAACGAGAGGTGCACACGGGGCCCCCACATTCACCACCGCCACCACTCGTCAACCGAACGAATGGATTGTCTCTTTAATCGGATCGGCATGGCCGGTTTGTCGGAATACATCGGCGGGGTGATTCTCCAACAAAGTGGAAGAGAGAAGGGGGGGAGATAGTTTGGCGAGCACGTGAATCATGCCCCACCCCTCTTCCCACTTGATTCACTTGGGAAGAGGGGGGGCGGATGCAGAAAGCACTCCGCAAACACTGCGGTAACGGTCCGGCCGGGTCTTGGATGTGTTGGGGGGGTCAAATGTGGCCATGCGACGGATCGAATGTCAAAGTTCCAAACACCACGATGACGACGACACAAACGAAATTTCCCGTTGCTTGCATGAGAATAAAAAACTAAACGGATGCCCGTGTACAAACAAAAAATCCTGACCGGCTAAATCATTCTAAAGCGGTTCCGTGATGACGTATCATGGCGAGATTCAAAAGGTTGCCCCGATTGATTTATTTTGTTTTCCGGGAAACAAATATGTGCATGCGTGCGTGCAGCCATGCCACCGATTGCGTCAATGCATACCTGGCAGAACGTTTTTCTTCTATCTCGCCATGATCCGGGGTGCGAGAGAGAGATAGAACTCTCCTCTTTCTCGCTCTGTATGTTTGCACGTTTAGCCAGAGATATGAACCTTACACTGAAGGATCGTAACCTTATTGTGGTGGTGGGAGTTTGTGTGTTCCTTTGACCCTCAGAGCTTTGCCACCTGAAATCTTCTGTTCCTGGTAGGGTCTCCTTTGGGTAGGTTCCAAACAAATAACGGTCCAAAACAAAGCCCCTCATGATTTGTTCAAAAATATAAAATTACTTTTTGGTTCTTTCGGTAAAGTAACGTAGAAAGAGAAAATAATAAATCTTTCTACGTGACTTTACCGAAAGAACCAAAGAATAATTCCTGCAGTCACGAAAGCTCCAAATATAATATAAAATTAGAGAACCTCACCCGGACAAGGTATACCGCGACACACCTCGCTAGAGCCACGCCTGGGGGTGGTGTTCGCCGGCTAGCACCTGGTGGCAGGGTGACCCACTTAACCCGGTTGGGCCCAGCCCGAAATGGCTGTGTGGCGCCATCCTGAAGGCCCACCATCCACAGAACGAAGGGTGAGGGGTGGGATGCCAGTATGGCAGGGAGAAGGATAGTCTCAGACGGAATGGACACTTGCTATTGGGACGTGGAATGTCACGTCACTGGGGGGGGAAGGAGCCGTAACTGGTGGAGATGAAAAGAAACCGACTACATGTATACGCTTTGGTTCTTTCGGTAAAGTCACGTAGGTTACAGCAGCCCTTTTGCCCACTTAAGCAACTGTTTCTTGCTGTGATTGTCCCACCTGATGACGGACGCTTGTGTTGCGCCTGAAACGTCGTGATTTATTTTATACCTACGTGGCTTTACCGAAAGAACCAAAGAGTATCGATTCCTTGCAGTCACGAAAACTTCAAATCTCGATCGACTACATGTAGTCGATGAGTGGGAGATTGGCCGGTGGATCTGTGCTGTACTTTTCCGTGGTTGTGAAACGGAGCTGAGTTCTCGAACAAATTTCTCGGTTTACAGATCGATCTATGTTCCCACCCTCCCCTATGATCATGAGCTTTGGATAATGACCGAAAGGATGAGATCGCAGGTTCTCGGGGACGAAATTAGGTTTCTCCCCAAGGTTGCTGGGCTCGCTCTTCGTGATCGGGTGAGGAGCTCGGCAATCGGGGAGAGCCTTAGAGTCGCGCCGCTGGTCCTCGGGATCGAGAGGAGCGAGTTGAGGGTTCAGGAACCTGGTAAGAAGTCCCCCGATAGACTTCCCCGGGAACTCTCCGGGCACCTCCCAGTGGGTGAAGACCTCAGGGCCGGCCCACGACATGCTGGAGAGCTGGACCACCCTGCTCAACATGCTGCTGCTGTGACCCTCATCAGGACAAGCAGACTGAGAACGAACGAACACCCCCCCCCCCCCTTATCCCACTGTACCATCCGTGCCGAGCCTTCACGGTCTGGGTAATTTTTCACTGGCTGTTTGCCGAGCCCAGAATCCAGCCATCCTACAACTGGCCCCACTAGTATGCAAGTTGATTCTAAATGAAGAGGGAAAAAGCAGAGGAGCCGGAGGAAAATCCACACAACCACCACGAGGAGAGAGAGAGAGAGGGACGCAAACTCAAAATATACACCACGCATCGTCAGGATCTGGATCGAACCTACGACCTCCTGTATACCAGGCGAGGTAGTTAACATCTACCCACCGTGATGATGAGAGAGAGACATGCAAACTCAAAATATACAGCAGCAGGCATCATTAGGGTCAGGATCGAACTCACGACCTGTATACAGTACCATGTGAGGTAGTTAACACCTATCTCACCTGGTAGAGACACTCATCATCATCACGGTGGCTAGGAGATGTTAACTACAAATATAGAGCAGCAGGCATCGTCAGGGTCTGGTTCGAACCCACGACTTGTATAGCAGGCAGAGTGAGTGAGTGGGTAAAGTGGGTGGGTGAGTGGGTCAGTGGGTAAGTTAGTGGGTGAGTTAGTGAGTGGGTGAGTGAATGGGTGATTGGTGAGTTAGTGAGTGGGTGAGTGAGTGGGTCAGTGGGTGGGTCAGTGGGTGAGTGAGTGGGTCAATGGGTGAGTGAGTGGGTCAGTGGGTGAGTTAGTGAGTGGGTGAGTTGGTGAGTGGGCGGATGGAGCAGTCGTGTAGCAGTTTGCACACTGCACTGTGAACCCGACGTCCCAAGTCCGTTTCCCCGCTCACCGCCAACGCCAGTGACGATTATTTGAACCGGTTCCTGGGCCTCCCCTAGGTCGACTCAGCCTAAAATGAGTACCTGGTTCAGTGTGTAAACATCACCGCTAGGGATACAAAGGCGGCCAGGCGTGGTGCTGGCCAACCACCCCCTCGTGTGCCACAGTGCCGGCCTTCATCGGTGCTGCTCGCCAACAGCACTTTCCCCAACAGCCTGTCAAGGCTATACGGAGGGAGGGCAGGGGGGATCTTTGTCTTTGTTCGCAGCTCATTCCATGAGCAGGGGGCCCACCACTCACAAAGGTGGCGGCGGTGCCACAGGAGAGGGCCACCCAGGTCGTGAGGAGGCACAGGGGTGGGGGTGAGTGGGGGGTGGAAGGGGGTGAAGTTTCGACTCGGGTCCATGTGGATGGGGAGGTACGAGGCATTTGGACGTTTTGACATTGAAGGGTAAGTGTTGTTATTTACTCTTTGGTTCTATCGGTAAAGTCACGTAGAAATAAATTGAATTAAAGAATAATAGAATACGACGTTTTGATTGCAACACAAGCAACCATCATCAGGTACAAATGAAAGAGAAAACAAACACAGTAAACTTGGAAATATAATGCAATACAGCACAGAGAGTCGGCCAACACCAGAGTCAACACCCCACCTGGTTGATTACGTTCTTTCAAAGATTGCCAAATTTGAGAGACAAAACATAGACACTGAGACACACAGACAGACACACAAGCAGAGAGAGAATCACACCACACAGACAAACAGAGAGAGACACACAGGCACGCAGAAAGACAACGTCTCTGTGTCGAGGCCTTAAATCAGGGGTGGGGAACATCCGGCCCGCGGGCCGTATAAGGATCGCGAAATGATTTGGGTCTGGCCCTGCCAAGGCAACCACAGGCAGGACTCGAAATTCAATAAATCTAGGATCAAACCTGGAAAAGCAGTTGCGAGTAGCAACATCATCAATACCAGCTAACATCACACGCCTCGCCAAAGAGAAGCAGTTCCAGCCCATCGCATTAGGGGTGAGTTAATTAAATGTTTGACCAAATATAACGGGCTAATTTTTAAG